CGCTATATAAATACACATTACATTACATTACATTTTTACCATAAATATACTTTAAAAATAACAATTGCTTCTTTAAATATATAAAATTATATATTTTGTGAGTAATATGCATTGCTAAGCATCTAATTTGGACAAATTAAAAGTGATTTTCCCAATATATTGATTTTTAAACGCTCAGGTTTCAGATTTTTAAAAGGTTGTATCTCATTAAATTACTGTCCTACCATAAATCAGTGGAAAGTATAAGCATTTAAAATATTACAACTTCAAAGGATTTTATGGTCTAGGGTTGCATTTTAGGGTTTGAACACAGCACGTTTTTAAGATTAAATCCAATGTTTTAACAAGAGGACTTGATAAAAATCAGAAACAGCAGATGATATTGTTAATCAGACATCTTTATTATGATTTCTTTTGATAGCTACTGTCACAGTATTATATATAAAACCCCAGATCAGATATTAGTTCGCTACTGTTACTGGTTTTAAAAACCTGCCAGCATTACAAATCATTATTGCATGTTGTTTTTTTGTACATGTCATGCAAAACAGAATCATACTTGTTCTCCTTTGAACCCTTTATCAACATATTTATAATTTATAATCTTTCCTATGTAGCAGCAGATAAGTAACATTCATGTCATCATTCTTAAATATTAATATTCACGTCTTCAGTCACTGAAGCTATATATTGCACATAAACTGCTGTGAACACGACATTCTTTACATATTATTCAAAGATTTGCTGTAATATATATATTTATTTATTTATATACATGCCAAATATACCAATTTTTATCCAAACCCTGAGATTAAGTGTGCTTTGTCAAGCCTTTGGGCTGGGATCACAGAAAAAAAAAATGCAGTGAGGAGCTTTTCGTTCACTAAATGCCCATAAATAAGTGCCCTAGATTAGCATACACTGTCATTAAAAAGGTATGGCTAATCTTCAATACTGATATTGTAGTGCATTTAACCAATCAAGTATGCATCAACATATTTCTTGTATTTCTACAAAGATGGTAAAAGAAGAGGTGTGTTAGGAGACCAGCTCATTACTAGTTCATTATCATGAAGTACAGTTTTTATACCATCAGTGAACGCACAGCATTCACACACGCAAAAACAACCACCATAAAACCTCTACTGTCAATGACAATCTTTAAATATGGAAGAAATATTGGTAACACTTACCAATAACTGTACGCAAATAATGATTTGTTAATATGTAAATTAAACGTTTCTATATTATGGACTATTGATAATTAATGTGCTTATCATGAACTTTACCTACAACATGCGTCACATGAGTTCATGTGTGAACAACGGCTACCTTAAGTACAATTGTTTGTTAGTTAATGTATTAATTACGACATTAGTTCAAGCTTAATTTAACCATCATGACTTCATGATATGTTAATGTATAATTATATCATGACTTTACTTGGAGGGGCACATCATCTTAAACTCATCCCTAACTACTCATTATTCATGGCCGTCAAGAGCGTTTACACTGAATAACAACAGAAAAAAAGTGTTCTGTCAACTTTAACATGAACAGCTTAAACACAAGAGTTCATGAGTAGTTAAGGATGAGTTAATGCACTGCAAAAAAAATTATTTTCTTACTTAGATTTTTTTCGTCTTGTCCAAATATCTAAAAGTTCTTAAATCAAGAAGCATTTTCTAGACAAGCAAAACATTGTTTTGTTTTAAGAAATAAAATCGAAACAAAATCGAAAAACAAGATTATTTTGCTTACCCCATTGGCAGATTATTTTGCTTGATTTGAGGAAAAACTCACTTTACTTTGGCATATTATTTCTTAAAACAAGACCATATGTTTTGCTTGTCTAGAAAATGCTTCTTGATTTAAGAATTTGTAGATATTTGGCCTAGAAACATGACAAAAAAAATCTAAGTAAGAAACGCATTTTTTGCAGTGTGATGATGCGCCCCTCCAAGTAAAGTCATTACATAATTATACATTAACAGCTCATGAGTTCATGTTGGTTACACTTAGCTTAAACTCAAATGTTAATGAATGCATTAATTAACAACATGTACTAACAAGCAGAGATGTATAGTAACAAAGTAGAACTACTTCACTAATGTACTTAAGTACTAAAAGGCTGCATCTGTGCTCTACTGGAGTATTGTTTTTTTCTCCTACTTCCACTTTTACTTCAGTACATATTTTCGATGAGTTTAATAGTTTATTCCGGTAGATTTGTTATGTGCTGCATAGTTACTCGTTACTAGGGGTGTCGAAATTATTGATATCGGTTCAGTGATAGATCATAAGCGGTTATTACGAACTGACGTCATCTATCTCCTGTGCGCAATGTCGCAGTAGGATACTATGGCGACAGAGGCGAGGGCGAGTAAATAACGATCCTACTACTTAAAAGGTAGATAATTGTGCACAATTCTATTGCTTGTGAGTTTGCTGGACAGTCTTTCACTGACAATCACAGCACATGAGCCACTTTTTCACTACTACGTAGAAATGCTGTAAAACTCTATCTTTACCTCTCTCTCACTTCGGACATTTGACCCGCTGAAGTGTTTGTTTAGAACTTTCGTTTACATCGTTTACAACCGGTAATTTGCGATCCGATAATGGGTTTCAATAGTGTTTTGTGTGGATTACGGAGTGTTTTCGTGACACACAACTTTGAAAGGTGTGTGATAAAGCTGTTATAATCTGTCATATCTGTGGTTCAAGCACGAGAAAAAAATGTTTTACTAGTTCATATAAATTGTAAGCCATATTTATTTTCGTTCTGCTTAATTAAGTGCCCCAAAGATATTTAAAATAAACAGAACAAAATGATGCCCTTTGACTGCTTTCTTTAATAACTACATTACACAATACTTGTACTTTTACTTTCAGTACTTGAGTAGTAAATTTTGAAATAAACTACTTGCAATACTTATGTTAAAAAAATGTTGAATATTTTAGTACTTTCAGTTAAGTATGGTGTTAGAAGAGCACTTCTACTTCGACTCAAGTCACTTTTTGATTGAGCACTTGTACTTTCACTTAAGTCTGGGTCTTTTGTACTTTATACATCTCTGCTAACAAGGTAGCCGTTAATCACACATGAGCTCTTGTGAAATATGTAATTAATGTTAGTTAATGATTAGCACGCACCTTACTCATGATTAATTCTTAAAAAGGTAATGCTTAGTTTACATATTACATATTAGTTTACATATTAATACATCATTATTCATGTACTGTTACTTAAAAGTGTTACCGAAATATAAATACTAGGCTTTTAACCCAATCTTGATCCTGACTTCAATGCACTATTACTGTAAATGCTTAAAATGTTGCTCCTTTATAAACTGTAAAATAAATAGAGGTTGTATTAACATTTTAAGTTCAAATTAACCTTACAAGTAATTTTAACTTACATTAAACTGGCATAAAACAAAATGTATGACTTCAAAAGATAAGTTGAAGCTTATTTTAATAAGTTAAATTAACAGAAGAAAAAGCATATATTGTCATGACTTACTGTTCATGTATATTTTTACAGTGTAGGTTTAACAGTTCAAAAGAAAATATTTAGTTTTCATCCACACTAAAGCTTTCACTGCACTGCCTTTGCTTTTGAAGACAAACATGGCTTCCTTATGACACTGGGTTTTGCATGGTAGCAAGATATTATCCTGAATGTACGATTAAAAGACTGTGAGCAAGGGCTGTGGGACAAAATAGTCTAAATCTCTCCTGAAAAATCATTGTTAATTAAGTTATAGCTCCGCTCCAAAACCTAGTGAGCTACATACTGTGCTACAAGACAGCATCAAAGACCAGTTGTAGCTATGAAGCTGTTTTCAAAGTAGTTAGCAGTATGCTAATTACTAATTTACCCAACCCTATATTGGCCCGGGCTTGTATCATGAAGCCGGATTAGCTGGCTAACTAGCTAAATTTTACCAATCAAGGATATGGGCACCATGAAAGTAGCTCAGCTTTAATAAATTCTGGGGCCTGCACCATGAAGCCAGATGGACTGGGTAACCAGCTAAGTTAAGTTTAATTTGCACCAATTCTGGGTTACAGGCACCACAAATGTAGCTTCTTTTTGCCATGTCCTTTCTGATGCTATTCTACACGGCTAACCTGTCCCAATGCAGGTTTTGTTTTGGTTAGAGATCAGATCAGAAATTGAGATTCATCTAATCATCTCTGTGCAAAGTGTCACATATCTGATGTAATTAAGATTCTCCTCCGGGGCTCTGTACCATAAAGTCAGATTAGCTAGCTAGCCGGTTAAGTCACAGTTTATTTGCACAAATTCAAGGTTTTAGGTCTTGAAGGTGGCTCAGCTTTAATCGCTCTTTGCTACCATGGTATCTTAAGCTGCACTGCTAACCTGCTCTAGTGCAGGATGTGTTCTGGTTTAGAGATCATAAACTCGAGATAGATTTAATTAAACTCTATAAACATTTACAGATATCCAGCTGCAATATAAAGCATAACTTTTTAAATCTGGAGATAAAACGTTAAAGAAGATTACATATTCACTTAGATTTTCTGTATACCCTGGTGTACATAACATTGTTACAAACAAACTTTTTTGCACTAATAATGCAAGCCGTTTCTTCTTTCAGCTATTGTGTTTCATGAAAAGTTCTTTTCACCTTGTGGTGATTTGTGAATCAATCGCAGTATTATGTCTCAAGGCATGCCATTTTGGCTGTTTGCTACTTTACACCTTAAACTCAGAAATAGCGCCTGAGTTAACAGAGACAGTTAATGATCAGCATTCTGGTACCAACAAACCCTGATTGCACTAGTTTGGTTCTCAAAACTTATCCTGTAACCCCGAGTTTGTTCAGCCACCATCATGGTACATCATGGTACATGATACCCTGGGGTATTCATAATAGAGAGCACAATCCTAGAATACATTAAATCTGTCATTAAAAGGACAGTTCACCCCAAAATATATACTTATTCTTCTTTTGTATTCAACAGAGCAGTTTAAAAAAGTAAATGCTGGCAGGACTTTTTAGCTGAACTGTCCTTTTAATGCCATGCATTTCCACATTATGCCTTTCAGAGTATTTCATTTTATCTTAGCGACATGCAAATGTAAAGCTGTACTGAGAATAACTTTAAATATTGTTTTGTGTCATGTTCGACATTGAGCTGATGTGATTGATTTGTTTTGCTTACTTGGTATGGAGCAGAGCGTAAATATTCTACAGGGACTGCATATGTGCTTGCATGTATATTATAACTTGATTGTGTCGAGAGTGTCTGAACAGATCTGAATGTTAATATCTGTTGATCTGTCTTCTTAGACAACACACAACAATGAATGTTACAAGACATCTGCAACCCAAACTTTTGGGCTCCTCTCAAACCAATGGCAACATTTTGCTCTCAAATCAGCAGCAAATGAGCCTTTTCTCAGGCTTTGCCATTGTATGCTGTACACAAACATCACCACAAAGACAGAACATTGCTCAGATCTCAGGCTGTTGTCTTAAAGGTTTGAGCTGTAGTGGTAAAGTGTCCTGACTAGAAGCTGTGCTTTTGACATCGTCCATATTGGATCCCTCTAAAACCACACTGTCCCTCCTGATGTTAATCTGCTCATCATCATCGTCATCATCATCATCCTCCGTTTCCTCTTTATCCATGAAAGCGACTTCATTCTCGTAACAAAAAGAGTTTGAATTAGACATTATGTACGTCTTCTCTGCCAAATCTCGAGCGCTGCATTGAGGTGTGTTGGGAACCTCGTAGGTGTTTTCGAAGTGCGAGTAGTCCACCTTGTAATGATTCTTCTCCTCAAAAAGGACCGGCTCAAAGCGATGGCCCCACAGGATTTCGCTAGTCACGTAAGAGCTTCGACACTGAGTGGTCATGGCTGTAGCTTCCACCATGCCCTCCAAAATCACCACTATTTCCAGCTCGGAACTTTCCAGTTCCTGTTTGCTCATGTCATAGAATGGACTGTCCTCGTCAATCTCATGGACGATGGTGATGGGGGACACTAAAAATATACGGTCAATACCAGTGTCGAATCCGACATCAATGTCTAACTGATCCAGAGGGATGAATTCGCCCTCAGCTGTGGTGCGGGATTTGAGCAGCTGAGCGCGGACGTGTGCCTCCACCAGGTGACTTTTGCGGAGGTTCCCGACTCTCCACATTAGGCACAGTTTACCGTCCCTCATTGCGATTGTTGCATATTGACTGAACACTAGGGTTTCATTTCGTTTTTTAGGCTTGGCCATCTTAGCCATGACCGCACCAATGATGAATGCATCAATGATGCATCCCAGGATGCTCTGAAAAACCACCATGAACACAGCAATGGGGCAGTCCTCCGTCACATAGCGGTAGCCATATCCAATAGTCGTTTGTGTTTCTACCGAAAACAGGAAAGCCGCAGTAAAACTGTCAACATTCGAAATGCATATCTGCACTTGATTATCCAAGTCGCCAGATGTATATGCAACGAGCCAGAATATAAGTCCAAAAATAAGCCAAGACAATAGGAAGGACAGGAAAAAAAGGACCATCATCCAACGCCAGCGAATGTCAACGCATGTTGTGAAGATATCAGCTAGGTATCGCTGACCTTTTTCGCTCATGTTGATGAACTGTACATTGCAGCGTCCATCCTTGTTGACGAATCGGTTTTGCGTTTGCTGTTGCTCGTGATCTGTGGTGCTCACTTTTCCATTGCCGTAGCCGTTTTGAATAGCAATGGGGGACAACTTCATCCCACCTTCTTCTGAGGAAACTATGCTGTATCGGTGGGCTCTCACGCTTCCCATCGCTTCCGTATGAGGGGGCTGAGCCTCGTCTGCTTTAGACAACAGTCTGAGTTTCTGGAGGACGCGTTGAAGAGACACTTTCGACTTCTCACATGGACCAACACGCAAACAAAATCCTTTATTTCCTGGAAAGCGAACAAGTAATTTGAAGGTCGCTCCAAAGAAACTGTGTTATCGCCTGGGGAACGAGGATCAGTCCTCTTCCAGGAATTGATTGGACTTCATTGGCAATGCAGGACTCTGTGAATAACACATAGGCAGAGTATGAGGGCAAAACAAAGTGTAATAAATGAAGAAACCGTTCAACAACCAATTCAGTTACACATTAAAATTGTTCTTTCGGGACTTTTAGAATAGTAGATTTTATTTCCATGCACTAAAACGGGTAGTTTATCAAAAAATGAAAGTTTACTCATTATTTATTTATCCTCAACTGGTTTCAAACCTTTATTAGATTCCTTCTTCTGTTGAACACAAAAGAATTTATTTTAATCAACATTGGAAAAACAGGTACTATTAAGTACCTGTAAGTCAATAGCTATGTTTCCATCCAAAAATGTGAAATAACTTTATGCACAAAACTGGATTATCGTATAAAAGGTGTGCGAATACAGCAGTGTTGACATCCAACGAGTCAAGTGAACAAAATCGTCACTTCCTGATTAACTGGCACCAAATATCAACAGTAAGAACAGAATTAACTGAGGTAGGAGAAGCTGCTTGAATCTTTTCTTCATTTAATTAATGACTTGCGCCTCAGAAGGCAATCCGGACATGCAGTGAACATGCATTGGTATTTGAAGGCGTCAGACGCAGAGCACAGACGCTCTTGATTCTGGAGGTCATCGATTATATAATAACACTAATACGGAAACGGTTAAGGTGTTTTAGATTGACCAAAACAACATTTCAGATGTTTTACAGTGTGCTCAACTTGCTGGTTTATCCATCGCATTATGTCTTATAACAAAATCACATGACCTTTTTTAATGCGCATGCTGGAGTTTGTTCGGTAAAAGTGTTTCCATCACCGTTTATGCACATCTTTTCCTATCAAATAAAAAGTTTATCCTACAAGTTTTTTATACGCATTTTCTAAATTTTATGCGCGTCTTGGCGTTTCCATCAACTGTTTTTTTTATGCCCGTATCCAAAATGCGCATAAAAATAGAAGGATGGAAACTTAGCTAATAACTACCGGTTGCAGTCTTTCTTCAAAAGAAACTCAAACAGATCTGAAGCAGGGCAAGTTAATGTTTACTGAATTTTATTTTTGGTGAACTATCCCTTTTTGTTCGACATTACCATCAATAATAAGTAGCTGACATGTCTCTAATCGAGAAACACAAATGTACAGACTAAAGGCGCATATTAATACATTTTAAAATACAAATATTCCATGAAGCCTCTCAATAGGTCTGAGCTCATAAAAACAGCATGCACATTAATCATATTAAAACACAATAATGTTGAAATGTGATGTTTTAGTCAATTCTAGGTAAATATGAGGTCTTAAAAATGACACAGGTTCCTAAATTATTGAATGCTAAATTTTGAGTTAAGCAGGGGCAGCACGGTGGCGCAGTGGGTAGAACAATCGCCTCACAGCAAGAAAATTGCTGGTTCGAGTCTCGGCTGGGTCAGTTGACAGTTCTGTGTGGAGTTTGCATGTTCTCCCCATGTTGGCATGGGTTTCCTCTGGGTACTCCGGTTTCCCCCACAAGTCTACATGCGGTATGGGTGAATTGGGTAAGCTAAATTGTTCATAGTAAATAAGTGTGTATGGATGTTTCCCAGTGATGGGCTGCAGCTGGAAGGGCATCCGCTGTGTAAAACATATGCTGGATAAGTTGGTGGTTCATTCCACTGTGGCGACCCCAGATTAATAAAGGGACTAAGTTGAAAAGGAAATGAATGAATGTATTTGAGTTAAGCATGTCACCGCTAGGCATGGGCCGGTATAATTCTGACGGTATGATAACCTTGGATAAAAATATTACTATTAGATGGTATTGTGATTACTGCTCTAAAATATATTCTTTTTAACCATCTGGGTAAAAAACTAAAACTTTTTTGTTTTGAGAAACATTTAAAATATTTTGGAGCAGTAAATATGTCAGGCTGAATAATGAAAATTTATCTTTGACTTCTGCGGTCTTAATTTGTTTAAAAAACCCAGATTTCTTTACTATTTAAAATTGTATTTTAGGAGATATTTTCTACTGGAGATACTGTTTTCCTTAAAAAATAACAAAACAAAATGCAAATAAAAATCCCTTAGGAACGATATAGCAGGAAATTTTGGCGGTTTTAAAAACCTTGACTTTTACAAACTGCGGTATACCTTGAAAACGGTTATCGTCCCTCCCATGTCACTGCAGGACAGAGAGGGCAATAATAGCATTAAAGCTAACGATTAGCATTTGACCTTCAAGCCCTTCAATGTAATTTGCATCATCTACATAAATCCAAAACAATGCTGCAAATACCCAAATAAAGAGTTAATGAGCAAGTGAGCCAATAAAAGATAAGACATTCAGACAACAAAGTTCAAATCCTATTGTTCTAGAAAACAAATCATAATAAAAAAAACACCTGTTCCACAAACAGTGCTTTAACGAATTAAATTAGCTTTTGTGCTGACATTAAACACTGTCAACCGATGTAAAAAAAATTATTTTACTTGTTACATTATTGTACGTCTGCTTTTTTGTTTTAGTCAGGCATAACAAAACTATAGGCAGATGGAAACACATTACATAAATACACAACATTTTTTTCTTCTCCCATCAGATCAATACAGTGTGATCTGTTGACAGACTGTTTCCAAGCCAATGAACTGTATACTCGACCACATATTATAATAATCTATTAAATACATAAATATGTGATGAACAAATGTATAACTATAAATAAAATGGCCACAAAGTAATATACTAGACCATAGAAGTTTGCTGCATTGTATAAAGACTATCTAGCAGCAAGAGTATAAATAGGCAAAGTAGATTTTTTTATTTCTTTTTTTGATTTAGAACAATAGTTTGACAACAGAATCCATCCCATGCTAATGATTTTTACTAAAAGTGCAGTCTAAAAGTTTACTTCACAAGCTCTACAAAAGTGTCATCTCTAATGACTGAAATGACAGCTGAAGCTGCTGATAGACAAAGATATCGCCTCACAACAAAAGTAAAAAGCTCACCTGCTCGAGTTCGGGAGGTTTAGATTAGCACATTTCTGCAGATATAAGCTGTTGTTGATGTTATCCGGCGCGACAGATCGGGCAAACACAAAAGGACTTGATGCTGGTTTCGATCATCTCGCTCAGTGTTGGTCAAAGCTCAAGCCGATCGAAGAATAGTTTTAAAAAGCCTGTTAATCTCCGCCCAGAGCTGCGGGGTCAAAACAGTCAGCCGCGCGATTACAGCATCTCTCCCTCTCTCTCACTGTATGATGCCGCGGTGATAATAACATGATGTAATAAACAATAATTGCTCAGCAACTGATTTGAATACCATATCTTTTCGCGCTTTTTTAAAAATTATGGAACGTCAACTCTTTTTGTGACGTGCATTGTTAACAACATTCTTTTTTTTAGAACCCTATGCTTTTTTTTACTATTGTGTGAAAGGGAATATACAATCACAGTACATTATAAAGAAGATGGAAAGACAAAAGAAAACATTTTAGGAAAAGAAAACAACAAGAAAAACAAACAAACAGAAAGGGTATATATAAAGAAATTATAAATGATAGATTATATATTTTAACAATTTCTGTTGTTTTAAAGCCTTTTTTAATAGTTAGAGATTTTCATAAAGACTTTTCTTTACTATGGATTTTTTTTTTTTTCAATTATAAAACAGAAGTAATACTGCATTTCAGTTAGCAAAACATTAAAAAAGGTTTTTGGTTTGAAAATGAACATTTATGTACATAAAATGTTGTTAATAAGATAAGAAGATGTGAAGAGTTTAGATGCAAAACCCTCTAAAAGCTGTCTGATATTTTCTTCTAAAATTAGCATTTTCTCCGACTACAGTGTGTAGGCTCAGTAATTTTACTTTTATAGTGACAAATAAGTAATTTACATTGCCTTTAAAGTAAAATAACTGAACATAATTATAGGAGGCTGACAAAAATGATCATTTTAGGAGAACATTTTAGATGGCATTTAGAGGTTTTTGCATCTGAACTCTTCATCTTTTCTTTTTATGAAAAGCTTCTGTTTTATAATTGCCAAAAAAATAATAATAAATAAAAAAAATTAATTCCCGTAAAGAAAAGTCTTTATCAACATTCTCACTAATAGCAAAATCTTTTCAAAGCAAATTAGAACAACTGCATTGCCAAAATAAGTGAACTAGGGACTCAGGGTGTTGCTTACAAAATGAAAAATTATTATCAATATCTTTTTTATATCTTACTAAGAGAGTATTCACTGGTGTACGATGAATAATTCTAGATGAAACTTATTTAATCTTATTTGTAATTAAGTAGCTTTTTGGGATGAGCCATATTTTTCTCCAATCAATATCAGAAACAAAATAATTCCAATATCAGTAACATTTGGAACTGATACAAGTAATAAATAAAGAGTGTGTTGATATGTTTGAAGAAGTTGCAGAGAAACAACATTTTCCTAGTAAAAGGGTCTAAAAGAGTATGACATTAAATACAACAGCAAATTCTTTAGGGGGGATGGGAATATTGAATCAATTAAGAAATTCTTTATAATTTAATAAATGGCCATTTGAATTAAATAATTACTAACAAGACAACAAACAAGCAGAATTTTTGCTTTAACCCAGCGTTGAAAGAAAAGAGATTTGTTTGTATACAATATTTTTTGTTATTCCAAATAAAATATTTGTGAGAAGAGAAGTTGTGCTTGTATTAGTGACCAGGCAAGAAGAAATTTCTTACGAAATTGAGATAATTTAGCTGGTACCAGACGCTGTACAGTACACAATGCGAGTCATTTCCAATTTCTATCAGCCCACAAACATTTAAAAATAAAACGATGTGGTATGTCAAAAAGACATCCAGTAAACTTTGTTTTTTCATGTGGAAAGACACTACACAAAGGGAAGGAAGTGCAGTAACTTTTGAAATTTACAAAGATAACTACCTAGCATAAAAAATAAACTTGCTAAAGGGATAGTTCACTCAATAAATTAAATTTTGTCATCATTTACTCAACTTTTACTTATCACAAAGCTGTCTGAGATTTCATCGTCAGTTGAACACTCATAGGAAACAGGGATAGGCCTAGTCCCTTTATTCATTCGGGGTAGCCAAAGCGGAATGAACCACTTATCCAGCATGTGTTTTACACAGCGGATGCCCTTCCACCTGCAATCTAGTATTGGGAAACATCCATACACTCATTCACACACACACACACACACACACACACACACACACACACACACACACACACACACACACACACACACACACACACACACACACACACACACACACACACACACACACACACACACACACACACACACACACACACACAGCCAATTTAGTTTATCCAATTCACCTATAGCGCATTGAACTGGGGGAAACTGCACCTAGAGGAAACTCACGCCAACATGGAGAGAACATGCAAACTCCACACAGAAATGCCAATTGATCCAGCCAGGACTCAAACCAGCAACCTTCTTGCTGTGAGGCAACAGTGCTAACCACTGAGCCAGTGTTGACCATTAAAAAAGATATAGTGAAAATTGTTGGAAGCACTGGGCGCCTTACTGTAATAGTTTTTCCTACTGTGGATGTCAATAGTTTCTGGCTTCCAACAATTTTCCTGAATATCTTCTTTTGGGTTTAGCAGAACATTTTATAGGAAGTAAATGGTAAACTAATGGGTGTACTACCCCGTTAACTGTATAAAGTTTTTGCTAGGAACTTTGTTTTGTAAATTATATTCACACTGCTACAGTATAAAGAAATTCTGGAAGGATTTGACTATATAAACACTGATGCTGTTTTTTGTTTTTTTAATTTTAAGATTTTGAATGAAGCTTAAAATTTTGGTTATTAAAAAAGGATATAAATAGATGTAGTGTGTGTGAAAGCATCAATTTGCTGAGGCAAATAAGGCAACAGCATTTACTGTACAGCTAATGCTTTTCCATGGATTTTGGGATTATGTCAAATTAATTAAACTAAATAAAGCAAATTGTATGGAAATGATTCCTTTTAGTTTTTTTTTTTGTGAAAAATAATGCTTGACTTAATTGCTAAAAATCACAAACTGTTTGAAGTATGTGTGCAGAAAATTTTGATTGTTATGAAAATAAAAATATGGGTCAAACATTTAACTACTATTAACATCCTGAATCTGAAATATTTATACTTTTTTATAATATAGCTGGAAGAGTGAAATAATAACTAGTTTGCAGTGATAGTTTTGTTAGCTAAAAGTTATCACGTGTCTTCCACCAAAACTAACATTTATTAAGATAACTAGTATAATATAAGATAATTAAACTGACCATGATTGTAATGTCAACATTTGAAATTTCCCTTTACTCTGGTTTTCCTCTTATGTCTGACTGCTATTCGGCTGACCAGCACTAGAGGGAGACCAATCACCCGGTCAAACAAAAATGTTTACATAATTAAAGAAAAGAAGGTTAAAAAATAAAGCACTGGGAGTCTTTTAGAGTCATTTATTGGCGAATCAAAGTTCACTGGCACTTACTAACTCTTTGCTGACTAAAAATAACTGGCAAATAAACAGGACTAAGATGCATTATGCAGAATGAACAAAAAAGATTTTTGTATTTAACACTGAAAATCCTCAGAATATATGCATCACTTAGTATGACGAAGGACTGAACACAATAGGGAATATATTTATACACTGAAATAACACTGTAACTAAATTTGAGATATAATCATACTAAGTATAGCATACTATCATCTCAAAAACATTGCAAGTGTAGAGGCCAGCTAGTGAAGTGGTGTGCAGGTAAACCTCGCTCCTCTGACCTCTAAAAGGTGCTCAGATGCTAGAGGCCATAGTCTTTAGCCTCCTTGGTAGAGCAACCGACCCCCATGCAGTAAATCCCTTGTTCGATCCCAGCTCGGAGCAGGTTGGTTGGTGTAAGACCGGTGGGTTACACAAGATTTAGATGCTTTGTTTCCAGTGAAGACTTTTGTTCATGCTTTTATCAGCATTAGGGTGGATTACTGCAATGGTCTCCTCACTGGCCTTCCTAACAAGACAGTCAGACAGTTGCAGCTCATTCAGAATGCTGCGGCCAGGATTCTGACCAGAACCAAAATAATCAGAGCACATCACACCTGTCCTCAGGGCGTTACATTGGCTCTAATTTCCATTCAGAATAGATTTTAAAGTATTATTACTTGTTTATAAATCACTAAATGGCCTAGGACCTTAATACATTACAGACTGAATACAAACCTAACAGATCACTCAGATCTTTAGGATCAAATAAACCTAGAGTTCAGCCAAAGCAGGGTGAATCTGCTTTCAGCTACTAACAGAAAAAAGTCCAACACAATTTACCCACTTTCAATGACTCTCTTCTTTCAGATGCATGTTGGAATAGTTTTAAACTTTATCCTGGCTGTTCCATATTGTGTAATGACATTGGGTAGTTTTCAAAATCTTTTAAAAGCATCAATGTGTTTTTATAACAAAAAATATGTCTAAAAATTTGAGTCATTGCAGAGATGTATGGATGCAGTCCTCCAAGCTCATGAGAGTTAGACACAGTATTCATTCTTTTTGACTTTATATCTTGTACTGCACATTATTTCTGTTCAGTGACAAGAATTTTGTCTAAGCAAAGTCAGATCTTACAGTCCTAATTAAATAATTAAAAAGCAAGACATAATTATATTTTATTTTGGTAATCTAAGCATAATCCAAAGGCCTTTGCCTTTCATATAAGCCACTTCTGATACCAAATGATCAACTAGAAGTCAAGTTATTGTTTGTTGTTCCTAAAACTTGAATAGGCGACAAGACTTTTGTTAGGTAGTGTAGTCAATAGCTCAAAACCTAATTAGTTAAAAATATTGAACCCCCAAAGTACAATTCTAATAACCTTGTAAGCCAGTTAATCCAAAGAAAAAGCATCAAAACTACAACGATTAGCATACTCTATATAAACTGCAAAATATCTAATATAAGAATGCTTTTGATAATTTCCTCAAGCACAGCGAGACAATGTCAAGACAGCCATCATAATACATTAAGTAAAAAGCAATAATATTGCAAGCTAAACTCATCGGCCTCCTGGCACTGAGATTTATTTAACCTGAGCGTACGTCCCATCACTAGATCCAGCACCTGAAAACAGACGAGTTCAATTATACACTTTCATTGTTTTATTCAGCAAGTCATATTATTATTATGATGATGTACTTTTTTTATCTAGTGAACTGTGACTGTTTTGAGTCTGACACTCACTCTGATGTGTTTCCAGCTTCAGTTTAGAGTAAACACAGCCAGAATTCTCAGTGTTGTTCCCTAAAATAATACATTTATTATCACTACTGCTTATGCTGTATGACTAAAAGTGCATAAACACATATGAATATGAATAAATGTATGATCATGAAAACATGAGAGCAGAGATTTATGTTTAAGTTTACCTTTATCTGTGTTTTCCTTCATTTTCTTTGTAGATTTGAGCTCAACCTCAGCATAGGTGAGTTCAGCTCCACTTTCAGTGTCTACAGTTAAGAGCAGAGAAAAACAAAACACTTTTAACCTCAACTTTAACTTAAAATCTTTGCATCTGTATGTGCAGTTTCTATAAAAGATTAATACATGAATTCATGTCCAATATTTATTATTTTGTAATGAATCTTAAAATTAAATAAATAAAAAAGCTGTTACCGGTGCTGCTTATGTCTTTAAGAGGAGTTCCTGTAAATGATTTATTAATTACTTTATTTTCAGCGCTTTTTCATGTATTATTTCACAATCAAATTTAGAATTCAGTCACACAGAAAAATACAGTTTTAATGTTAACACTGGTTTAAAAATATAAAGCCGTCCTGACTGACCAGAGAGCAGTGTCTGGTGTCCCGCTTCACTCTTCTTCTGCTGTGATGTCTGATTGACACTAGAGGGAGACGGAGATCTTACACCTAGACAAACAGGACATGATCAGCTAAATACAATGACAAATAATTTGGAGTCCTCTGCTTACACAACAACTCACACAGTTAATGGTTTCATAATAATTGTGATCACTAAACACAGTTTTAAACACTGAATAAATAACACTAAAAAGCTTGCTAACAATATACCACTTCCAGCCTAATCAGCAAATATTTATATATAATAAAACGACTCAAAACCTTTTAACCATTTCACTGATAAATTCAGAATACCTCAACCGTCTCCATGTTTTCTATTTAGTTTCTATCGCAATTAAGAACAGATGTTGATTTTAAAGTTTGATTTGAAATCCTGGAAGTGACATTCTAAATTCTGAACATTCTAAATCCCACAAGCAACCAGTGACCACTTATCAGAGTCTGTTTATACATTTATACATGCAGTATCTGGAAGCTAAACAACTAAAACACAGCTATTTAATAATCAGGAGTCTTGTTTAGTGTTTCTAAAAATGTAAATATTGAGAAAATCAACTTAGGTTTAGCAAAACATATTTCTAATCAAGAACTGAGCTTTGATATATTTAGGAAATTTAGCTAAATGTCATCATGGAAAAGACTCTTTACCTAATATTATCATCATTTTTGGCATTAAAGAGACATCTAACCTTGTGATTTATACAGTTTATTATATATTGTTGCTGGTTTTGTGTTTCAGGGTAACACATGTGGGCCAGCACTCACAGGGGCACAGAAATAACAATCCTGCATGTGAGACTGAAATGCTCAGATTAAAAGTTTACACAAGCCATTATACTGTATTAATTTGATCAGGAGGCAAGTTATGAGGTTTGTGAAAACTTTCATTGAATTGTAATATGGCAGATGATGAACCTTTCTTGTGTCTGTAGCAGCACAGCAGAACCAAGAAGATGAAGACCAAAACAATGACAGAAAGTCCTGCAGTCACTCCATTAATCACAGAACTGACACCATCAGATCTCGAGGCTGATGGAGAAACTGAGTTACTTACTGAATATATTCACATTTAGAGTCATGCTGTCAATGATACAAGGAACATTTCAGCTGTTTTTAGGTCTACACTCTCACCTCTGACTGAGATCCAGCTCTTGGGTGACTCTCCTTCTGGGTGTTTACAGTGGTAGAAACCCTCATGTGACTTTGAGACAGCAGTGATGATCATCTCTGAGGTTTGACTCTGGATGAGTGATCCATCTTTATAGAAATCAGTTCTGAGCTTTTCTGGAGTTTTATATTTATATAAGCAGTGTAGAGTCAGAGTTTCTCCTTCAGTCACAGGATGAACAGGACTCTCCAGAATCACACCAGCTACACAAACACAGCAAACATCAACACACACATCAACAGAGTGCTGACATTATAGATACAACAGCAAGTTAAATATTGATCTGTATATTAAAATGTGGTTGGCTTTTATAGACAAGTGTTTTAACTACTACCAACTACCTTTAAAGTAGTTTGTGTGGTATTATGTGGTTGTGTTTTCTTTACACTTGACCAATTCACAACTGTCTAATGCTCCCTGCTCTCATCAACTCAATCTGTTTTAAATGAATAAATCAGACTCACAGTGTACAGTGATATTAACAGGATTATATTTCTTGCCAGATTCAGACTGACACCAGTAAACTCCAGTATGGAATGTGTAAATGAAGCTGATTGTACATGTAGATCCTGTTTGTGATGAACAATCCTCTATCCTCCCACTGTCTGTGTATCTTCTGACTCTCCATCCAGTAGAGTTACTCTTGTCTTCACAGCTCAGAGAAAGAGAGTCAGATGTAAAGTGTTGAGCTCTGCTGGGACTGATGACCAGAGACACTGGAGGAGAAACACCTGAGACAGGTACAGCAATGATTTACAAATATTTGGCTTTTTTCTTCATGAAATATGATCCAATCATTTCAGTTCTGTGTAAACTCACCAGTGACCCACAGTGGCTGTTTGTTGCTCATGTCTGTTTTATAGGCTGGTTTTCCTCTCTCTGCTTCACACAAATAAACTCCTGTGTGTTTTGGAGTAACAGAACTGACAGTGTATTTTCCTCCAGCTCCTCTACTGCTGTCTGAGAGCGGTGTATTGTCCTGGCCTGTTTAAAGTGAGAATATACAGATGTTCACTATAATCAGCTATTTTTGCAACATAAAATAATTTTTGATCAAAAGTAAATACTATATATATATATCTGCCCCTGCATTTTTTCATTCTTCATATATATATATATATATATATATATATATATATATATATATATATATATATATATATATATATATATATATATATATACATATATAACAATAATATAAAAAAACTAGTTTATCAGATGAAAAAAATGCAGGGGCAGATTCGTTACATTATTTAAATTAAATATAAACAGATCTATAAAATTAAATACATTCCCAAATAATGACAGAAAACTCACAAATGCAGGCAGGAGTTGCAAAAGGCAAATTTTAAAAAGTGTCCACAAATATATGTTTCCATCACAAGCAAAACTGCCAACATTATTTGTGAATATAATAGAGTTTTGTGAAACTCCAGCAAATATTTGCAGATCTCTTTCAAGATCTTAATTGCTTGGGGGAATCACTTTTGATTTATTTGTGAATCATGATCTATTTCAAACAATACAACAATTAAATCCCCCACAGAATCACATTATATCTTACCTGACTGAGTTAGCATGTACCAGCTGAATGTCCAGCCTGTAGAGGAGCCGTTAACCTCACAGGTCAGAGTCACTGAATCTCCTTCAGTCAACCAGTTCTGTGGAGAAACACTTAAAGCTGTCTGGGGTCTGTCTGAAATAGAGAAATCCCTCATTAATAACATGATAAACTTGTGTGCATATGAAGAGATGATCAAACTCACCTGATACTGTCAGTGCAACTGCATCACTCATTTGTGATCTGCGTGAACCTTTACTCTCAGTGCCAGAACAGGAGTATTTACCTGCATCAGACTGAGTAACAGGCCTTATTGTGTATTCCTGTAAATCACTAAATGCATCATCTGAACCTTCTTTATACCAGGTGTACTGCCAGCTAGAGACTCCTTCAGCATTAATGTCACATTTGAGAGTGACTGACTCTCCTCTGAACACATGCAGATCAGGAGTAATCCTCACACTGGCTTTAGGGTTTTCTGTTTAATGGCAAAAATTCACAATAAAAAAGATGTGATATAATAAATATAATCATATGATGTTTTAGTGCAAGAGGTTTGAACAGTTTTATAGAAAAACACACAAGCTAAATTTGATTAGTATTTTAACCTGAAGCTAAATTATTAAGTGTCTCACACAATCATTTGGATGAACAGCCTGGATAAAAATATTTTAAAAAGTGTTTTACAGAATTATATCACAGTTGAAACTGAGATCAAATAAACAAAAACAGTCACAATAATGCACTTCACAACATTAAGCATCACAGCACTCCTTTTCAATAGTTTTCACAGTTCATGTAGAATCAGACATGTCATGAAATATGTGCAGTAAATTCTCTCACCTTCAGTGTTTTCAGAGTGAATGTTTGAAATCAGCACTAAAACACAAAGAGAAACTTTTGAGAGTTAGCAGCTAAAAAAAAATAATGCAGTTTGTAGACAAAACATGTTGTAATGATACATTCACTTTTCTTTTAGAAACAGAGCTAACTGCACATGTCAGGCTGATCTTTCACTCATATATCATGGACTAGAGATGGTTTGTAAACTCAGAGCAGCATGAAAAATAAAAACAGAAACACTGCTGGATCTTGTTTATAATATTACAGCAATAAACGTCTACTGAAATACATAGAAAATAATACTCACAGAGCACAAGAGGAAGTTGACTGAGCTCCATACTGACTCAATAATGACAGACACTTGAAAACTCAAGACTTCCTGCAACCTGCAGTCTGACCTTTACAAACATCACAACACATTAAAGACACACAAATGTACCTCATGTGTTACAGAAGATCTATTAATAACCTTTATAATCTTGTTATATGCCTTCAGATTATGTTAAACTGACCAACATCCAATGTTTGTACAGAAATGTATATATTCATATCAACTGGATGCTACATTAAGTGTGTTATTAATTATGTCTCATTATACATTCTAATATCTCTGTTATTAATGCACTTCTATTTCATTCAGGAAAATTCAATGTTTTATTTAAAACTTAACTGTGCATCAACAGAAATATTTAGTTGACCTTTGGGCAGACATTTGTGCTCAAACAGCTCACTGAGAGTACGAGGTGTGAACGGTGAGAACTTTCCATCCTGTGTAGACCCTTATATCCGACTTTATGTCTCTTTTGAGAGTAACACCTATTTGAGGTGTTTGTTCTCTGAAACACAGCAACCATACTAAAATGAATCTAAGCATACATGTGTGCATTATAACTATATCAGATTAAGCTTATTTTTATTGGTTTATTTGAAGGTCACGATGTGGCTTATTTTGGGTGTCTGCATTTCAGAAACATCAATTGTGTCACCATGTGAATAAAATGATTAATTGACACCTCTTGCACCAGTCTGCAAAGCTGACCGGCTTCCTCTTTTTCTTATGGATGCACTGTAAAGCTTTAAATGAATTGTCAGTTTAATAATAATAATAATAATAATAATTCATTTTATTTGTAAATGGCGCCTTTCTAGACACCCAAGGTCGCCTTACAATAAGCATCAGCAGACATGCTAAACAAATTAAACATTACTAAAAACAATCATTGACCAAACAAGTTAAAACACAATAGCGAATATAAAAGAACATAATAAAAACATGATTAAAAATTTGTTGAGTAAAAGCCTGCTTAAAAAGATGGGACTTTAGAAGTGATTTAAAAGTGTGAAGACTATCACTGCTCCTAAGATCTAGGGGAAGTGAGTTCCATAGCCGAGGAGCCATAGAGCTAAAAGATCTGTCTCCCATTGTGCTCAATCGAGTGCGAGGTGGTACCAGGGTGAAGTTGTTGGCTGATCTAAGGGTACGAGAAGGGTTGTAGATATGGAGAAGTTCAGTGAGATATTGAGGAGTGAGACTATGAAGTGCCTTGAAAGTTAGAAGTAATATTTTAAAATCAATTCGATACTTTACTGGAAGCCAATGAAGCTGATAGAGGAGTGGTGTGACGTGCTCGTGAGTTTAATTCAGCTCTTTGCTAATTTAAATTAATTTGGCGTTAATTTAGTTTGGTTAAACTCTATACTTATTGTTATTCAGTCCAATTTGTTTCAAACTCTCTTTAATTGTTCTTTGGCATGTCTTTAGTCTTATCAATTTTCTTATATTATTTTTAATTTAATTTAAATGCTGTTGACTAAATTTCAATTCAGCTTTATTTGTATAGCGCTTTTACAATGTAGATTGTGTCAAAGCAGCTTCACATAAATGGTCGTAAACTAGAACAGTGTAGTTCAGTTTTTAGTGTTTAAGTTCAGTTCAGTTTAGCTCAGTTCAGTGTGGTTTAAATCATTACTGAGAGTCCAAACACTGTAGAGCAAATTCGTCGATGTGTGGCTCTACCGATCCTGAACCATGCAAGCCAGTGGCGACAGCGGAGAGGGAAAAAAAGCTTCACCTGATAGGAGAGTGAAGAAAAAAAACCTTAAGAGAAACCAGACTCAGTTGGGCACGACCATTTTAATTTCTCCGCTGGCCAAAATTCTTGTGTAGAGCTGCAGTCTCAGTGGTGGAGGCTGGAAGCTGGCCTCAGCAAAGACTCGTCTGTCCCTGGAGCGTCACTGGAATCAGTCTCATGCTCTCCACTCCCCCATGACCAACAGCGCAGCAGCAGACCAGGATACGGCCTGGTCCCGGATATGGAAACCTTGGAATCATCTCGTCAATGGTCTTGGATCCAATCAGTGATTCCGCATAATCTGAGGACCTCGGGATGAGTATCCCCAGGTGGAAATTTACTGTATTTGTTGTGTCACTGCATATTGATGATACATTTTAATGTAACATCTTTTAGGGCGGCATGGTGGCTCAGTGGTTAGCACTTTTGCCTCACAGCAAGAAGGTCTCTGTGATGACAAACCTCAAGAGCTTACAAATCAAAAGTGAGAAGAGAACTTTCTTTTTGAAATTTACACTCTGATATGAATAGCTTAATCTCTCGATTTGCACACACGGACAATAATTAAAACATCTGTTTTGAAATCAAAATTGCGGATGAATAGTTGTCTGTTTGTAAAACGTCACTCACAAGTACAAATTGACAGACACAAATGTGAAGGGCAAATATACCCGAGCACTTTACTGCAGTTTCGCTGTACAACCACAAGTCTGCCCTCACAACCACTCGATAGATTCGGCAGTACAAGTTCAAATCCTTGTGCTTTTGATTATTGTAATATTGTTGTTTGTTGCATTTTATGTAAATACACTTATATTGATTTCTTTCAGAGTATCTTGCCTTCTTTGCAGTCAATAATTAGTCAATGTACCTCGAAACACCTCATTTTTTTGAACAATCTTTTTATTGAGATGTAATAAAAATATGACAATATAACATCACAATCATATTTTACATCTTTTTTTTTTCAATTTAGAGGAAAAAATAAAACAATAAAATAAAAAATAAATAATAAAAAGCATACAACAACAAAAAAAGCATAAAAAAGGAATAAAAAGGAAATGAGAAAAAAAAAGGGTTGGGGGGCACAGGGTGTTTGAGTTAGTAACAGATTATTCTAGATACAACAATTGGAAGAAGTTGTTGAAAATACAAATAATCTATAGAAGGCATGAACCAGATCATCAGATGGTTTGTTTAAATAATTCTTTGGAAATACAGTAGGGGAAATATTTAGATATGCTTAGTCAATGTCAGTTTATTTCATCTTTTCCTGTTTCATTTAATAAATTTCTGAAATTTGAATTTGAAATAAGATATATAAAGGGTGCCCACATTTTCTCAAAAACAGTAAGTTTGCCTTTTAACATGTATGAAATCTTTTCCATAGCTAAACAGAAGGACATATATTGATCCACTGTACAATAGATGGCCTTTCCATTTTTCTCCAGTACAAAGCTATTAGACGTTTTGCTTGGAGTATACTTATATCGATAAGTTTACGGGTGCTGCTGTGGCAATCAATATTTTCATAAATAATTCCCAAAATAAACATTTCCGGTTTCATAGGCAGTTTTACAGATACCATTTCAAAAATGAAACTAGCCACCTCTTTCCAAAATTCCTGTACCTTTGGGCAATCCCACATACAGTGTAAAAGTGTACCTTTTTCAACTGAGCATTTAATGCATGTGTCTGGGATACTTTGGTTAATTTTATTTAACCTGACTGGAGTGATATATGTTCTCCTAATCCAGTTGTACTGTATTAATTTAAGATTACTATTAAATGTTAATGTTTGATCTTTTATTACATATTTCCTCCCATTCATCCAGTGGAATATTTTAATTCTTTTAAAAACATTTAATTCTTCTCTCAAGGAAGCCAATTTAAATTCTGATGATTCTGTCGAGCATGATTCTAACATCTTATAGAACATAGATACTAAACCTTTTGATTTAGCAGGTTTTGATAACAGGTCTTTAAGAGGTGTTTTGTTAGGTTTTGTAAGCTTTGCACCTTGATGAGAGGAAATATAGCTCCTTAACTGAAGGAATTTAAAGAAATGTTTTTTGGGAATATCAAATTGTGTTACAATTTCTGCAAAAGACATTAGATCGTTTTCTTCATATAAATCTTCAATTTTTTGCAGCCCTTTGTCAAACCGAAACACCTCATTAAAAAATATTTTTCAGCCAATATTTGTTTATGAATAGAATATTCATAGTATCTTTTTAAAAAACTTTTGTAAACTCAATAAGTCAAAGCAAAAGCATCCAAACTACAATATTTAGCATAATTCCCTAGAAACAAGCCTGTGCTGGTCCTTAAAGGGTCCACTTAGAGCCAGCATAAGGGGGCCAGGGGGCTGCCAGTGCAGGGCCATTGAGAGTTTGATCACTAACAAAACATTGGCCTATTGGTGCTGGCCCTCACCTAGCCCACAAGAGCCCTCACTAACTGCACTTGTTTTATTAACAATTCTCAATAAATACTGCACTTTTCTCTCAATAGACTTCCATTCATACGCACGCAAATGCGTCAGACCGAAAACCCAAGCTAGTGTGACAAGTTACGCCATTCGCTGCGTTGGAAAGTTCAAGCTTGGTGAACTCTGACCTGCGAAATCGCATCACATGATTGCGTGAGACCAATTGAAGATTGAAACATGACCTCTCTAGACAGGAATTTAAACATGGTCTAATCACTTTTTTTTTTTATGTCTAATCATCATGGTTTGGTGGTTGACAATGTGCAAGCAATGTGTCTGAAGAGCGAAGAGGGATTCGGTGGGGAGGGGTGAGAAGGGTGCACGATGTATTGGAGGACCAGAAGAAGAAGCACGATTTCCGGGAGATTATTACTCGTTTGTGGGCATCTGAGAGTCTCTATGCATTGGTAACACTTTACAATAACAGTACATGAATAATGAAGTATTAATATGTTAAGTAAACATTAGTTTATTATGAATTAATGATGAGTTAAGGTATGCACTGATCATGAATTAACTTTACCTACAACATGAGTCACATGAGTTCATGTGTGAATAATGGCTACCTTAATTACTTGTTAGTACATGATTGTTTGTTAATTAAGGTATTAATTACCACATTAGTTTATGCTTAATTTAACCATGATGAACTCATGATATGTTAATGTATAACTATGCTGTGACTTTACTTGGAGGGGCACATCATCATTAACCCATTCTTAACTACTCATGAACTCCTTATGCACGTCCAACTTGTGAGTTTACACTGAATAACAATAGAAAAGCGTTCTGTCAACATCAACATGAACAGGAGTTCATGAGTAGTTAAGGATGAGTTAATAGTGATGTGCCCCTCCAAGTAAAGTCGTGCCATAACTATACATTAACAGCTCATGAGTTCATGTTGGTTACATTTAGCTTCAACTTAAATGTTAATTAATACATTAATTAACAACATGTACTAACAAGTAATTAAGGTAGTCGTTATTTACACATGAACTCATGTGACTCATGTTGTAGTTGATTAGTGCATACCCTTACTCATCATTTATTCATAATAAACTAATGTTTAAATTACATATTAATACATCATTATTCATGTACTGTTATTGTAAAGTGTTACCTATGCATTTCCGGGAGACTCCTGAAACTTCCAGGAGACTTGGGATGTCTGAAATGACCTCCCGCTCTACTCAGAATTCTCTCTTCATATGCCGTATGCCTATTACACATCCATAAAACACTGTGATATAACCAGGCTCGGATCGTATCGCCTTCTCACTACAATCGATCCACGAGTGTGTTTCAATCGAGCCGAGACCACCTCATTCAAGCGATCTCGAAGCGATTGATTTGGCGTGGATCCGAGCACGATTGCTTGATTCACATATGCCAAATGAACCGCGCTAACTGGGCAAATGAGACAGGTTCCGAAACAAAAGTGTAGGTGTGAAAGCACCCTCAGTTAATCACTTAATTATCTCATTAATTTCATCATTGTGTCTGTGTTCTTCAATCTGTTTCTATCATTGATAAAACATTATTTGAGAGAGCAAAGCTGATGAATATTTATTTTAACCTTTTAACCGTTGATTCAATGTTAATTCAGTGAAGTTCTGCTATCATCAGCCTCAACAGCAGGTAACAAAGCCTATAATAGGTCAGATTTTAGTTGTGTGAGAGGTTTATAAATGTTAATAGAATGACACAAAATAACTGTAGGAAAGGTGCATTCACAAATGACACAATAAAAGTGCAAAAGTTTACAGTATACAGTAATAAAAGCATACAGTTCAATGCATCAAAGATTAAAAATCTAGGTGTGCTGTAATGATCCTGTTCGATTATATAGCAACTGCAAAATGTCTAATGTTTAAATAATATAACTTTACTTTTGCTAACTCCCTCAAGCGCTGTGAGAAGTAAAAACTAATAATAAACCACTGATGACCCTGGGGATTCTCTACCAGTCTTCAAGCTAAACTCATCGGCCTCCTGGGACTGATATTTATTTAACCTGAGCATACGTCCCATCACTAGATCCAGCACCTGAAAACAGACGAGTTCAATTATACACTTTCATTCAGTATTTTAAGCTATTCTTAGAATGTTCATGAACTTTTTTTAGTCTGACACTCACTCTGATGTGTTTTCAGCTTCAGTTTAGAGTAAACACAGCCAGAATTTTCAGTGTTGTTCCCTAAAATATTACAACATTTATCATCACTGGTGCTTATGCTGTATGACTAAAAGCACATAAAACACATGAATATGAATAAATGTATGATCATGAAAACATGAGAGCAGAGATTTATGTTTAAGTTTACCTTTATCTGTGTTTCCCTTCATTTTCTTTGTAGATTTGAGCTCAACCTCAGCATAGGTGAGTTCAGCTCCACTTTCACTGTCTACATTCAACAGCAGAGAAAAATAAAACACTTAACTTCAAATTTAACTTGAAATTTTTAAAGTTGATTCAATAAACTGACTACATGAGTTACCTGTTTTGCATATGTCTTCATGTGTTGTATCTGTATGTGCAGTTTCTATAAAAGATTAATACATGAATTGATTACCAATGTTTATTATTTTGTAATGAATCTTAAAATTAAACCAATAATATCTCTCTGCTCTGCAGAAATAATTGTCTTTAAGAGTAGTTCCTGTAAATGATTCATTCATTAATTATTTTCAACGCTTTTTCATGAATTATTTCATAGTCAAACATAATTCAGTCACACAGAAAATACAATTTAAATGTTAACACATGTTAAAAAATATAAAGACTTCATGACTGACCAGAGAGCAGTGTCTGGTGTCCCGCTTCATTCTGCTTCTGCTGTGACGTCTGACTGACTCTAGAGGGAGACGGAGATCTTACACCTAGACCAACAGGACATGATCAGCTAAATATTCTGAAGAACAGAGATTTTGGCTAATTTGGAGTCCTCTACTTGCACACTATTTCATACTAATTGTAATAACTTAACACGGCTTTAAACACTTAATAAAGAACACTAAGAAGCTTGTTTAAATAAATAAAACAAACTACCCAAAACCTTTTATCTGTTTCAGTGGTACATTAATAACATGAAGTGAGCTTAAGAACTGTTTTCCATTTAGTTTATATGGCAATTAAGAGCAGATGTTGATTAGAATGTTTGGTTTGAATTTCTGGAATTGACATTCTAAATTCTGAACATTCTAAATATCCACAAGGACCAGTGATCACTCATAACCATCTGTTTGGTATATTTATATTGAAATGTGGATTTGTTATGATCTGGCAATATTTGCCAAAAATACAGTGGTTCCTAGCTATAATGCTGTTCACCTTTCGCAGCCTTACAGTTTTTTTAGTGACATGCTAATTTTTATTATTTTTTTATATACACATTGTGTTCTGCATCCTGATTGTCTGTAGAACATTGTCAATCAATCTCTGTGACTCTGTACACTACAGAATGCGTTCCGCTTGCCAAATTAACAAAAAGCACTGATCACTAGCAGCGTGAGTTTCAACAAGGATGCAATAAGGATTGTAACTGTCTAAGACCATCATAAAGGGGTTAACACACGGATTGTGCCACGCAGCACCCTGCATTTTAGAATTGTAGGTTTATATCAGGGTGCGCACACCCATGCAAAAAGTATGTGGTGCCCGGCTATGACTCAGGACACTGCTCATATTTTTGCCACGCCATCTGAATAATTTCATTTGAAATAATATGCGAATGTGCGCGTCCGGTGTGCGTTACTTTCAACTCTCATGTGCCCGGCACATCCTCTGTGCGACCCTCTTAAAGATAGTCTGCTTTCCCTTTGTGGATCAGTGAGTGCAGGGAAACAAACATTACTCTGGATGCCAACATCATCTGCACAAAAGCTTTACGAACCTTTTGCTGACAGCGATGAATGTTTGCTTTTGATCTTTGTATTTAATCTATATTAGACTGGACTTTTTTTCTACAAAAGTTTTAACTTTGAGAGTGTTTAAATAAGATTGAAAAGTGTGAAAATGTTAATGCCGGTCTAAGAAAAGTGTATAAAGTGTAGTGAGGGGTTTTACAGCCTTAAAGCATCTGTGATAATTGTAAAAAAAAACAATAACTGACTACTTTACAGATTTCACCTATCATGGGCTACTTTTAGAACGTACAGTAACTCCCGCAAATAACAAGCGACCACTGTACAACTATTTGGACTAGTCTGGAATTGTCACCGACTCGGTCCCAGTCACTCCCCTCACTGGCCAGCAGAGGCCGCCATCTCCGGACTTCTAGCATTACATCATCCACTTACGCTGGTTGTGCACACACCTGTCCTGAATCTAGTTAATGACCCACGTACCCTTTATAAGCCGCACACAAACACTCAGTCAGTGCGAAGTCTTATTTAGCCCTGGCCAGCATTACTGAGCGTTATTTCCTGCCTGATCTCTCGTGTACAACTCCAGCCTGTTACTTACTCTGCTTCGCCTTCTGCCTGCCCAAGACCCAAGCATGATACACAGACTCTGATACACGCAGCCTGCCTTTGACCCATGCCTGGTAAATCCCTCTGTGTCTGTTTACCGCCAGTCTTGAAACCTTTAAGACTATTGTTGATGTGTGTTTGCACTTTGGTGCATATTGTGTGTTTTGAGTGAGAGCTTGATCAATAAATACTGCATAATGGATCCCTCCGTGTCAGTCTCCTTGTTACAGGAATCTTCTTTGGTATTGTAAAAATCCTTTTAAAAATAACCTTTAATGTTGACTAAATTCAGCTTTTTAGCATTTTTTGGCATTAAAAAAGCCATAATTGTTCAACTATTCAAATTAACATTTGATCTGATTTCCTTTAAAACAAGAAAAATAATCTGCCGATGGGGTAAGCAAAATAACCTTGTTTGTCCTTTTGGATAAGATTATTTTGCTTACCTTATTGGCTGATTATTTTGCTTAGTTTAAAGAAAAATCATGCTTAGTATTCACATCTAACTTCTCAAAACAAGACAATGTTTTGCTTGTCTAGAAAATGCTTCTTGATTAAAATTTTATTAAATATTTTGACTATAACGAGACAAAAGGTATTAGCATTTTCTTCAATGTATGTGAGCTATTATCAGAATCAGCTTGGGTTTATGTAGAACAGCAGACACAAAGTTTCATTGAATTGTAATATGGCAGATGAACCTTTTTTGTTTCTGTAGCAGCACAGCAGAACCAAGAAGATGAAGATTAAAACAATGACAGCCAGTCCTGCAATCACTCCAATAATCACAGGATCAACACCATCAGATCTTGAGGCTGATGGAAAAACTGAGTTACTTACTTAATATATTTACATTTAGAGTCATGCTGTCAATGATACAAGAACATTTCAGCTGTTTTTAGGTCTACAGTCTCACCTCTGACTGAGATCCAGCTCTTTTGTGACTCTCCTTCTGGGTGTTTGCAGTAGTAGAAACCCTCATGTGACTTTGAGACAGCAGTGATGATCATCTCTGAGGTTTGATTCTGGACGAGTGATCCATCTTTATAGAAATCAGCTCTGAGCTTTGCTCGAGTTGTAGATTTATATAAGCAGTGTAGAGTCAGAGGATCTCCTTCAGTCACAGGATGAACAGGACTCTCCAGAATCACACCAGCTACACAAACACAGCAAACGTCAACACACGCATCAACTTGGTGCTGACATTATAAAAGACGAGAGAAAATTAAATGTTGATATTTATATTAAAATAGGGACACTGAGCATCACATTCTGTGTGTTTTAACAGCTACTTATTGTGTTCAGAGTACTTTTCATGTCTGATATTATTTGGTTGTTTTGTTTTCTGCTTTCAAATTCATTTCACAACTGTCACAATCATCAAGTCAATCTGTTTTATCTAATGATTTTACATGAACAAATAAATAAATAAATACAGACGCTCAGACTTACATTGTACAGTGATATTAACAGGATTATATTTCTCTCCAGATTCAGACTGACACCAGTAAACTCCAGTGTCTGATGTGGTGAGGCTGACTGTACATGTTGATCCTGTTTGTGATGAACAATTGCTCATCCACCAGCTCTCTGTGTATCTTCTGACTCTCCATCCAGCAGAGTTACTCTTGTCTTCACAGCTCAGAGAAAGAGAGTCAGATGTGAAGTGTTGAGCTCTGCTGGGACTGATGACCAGAGAGACCGGAGGAGAAACACTTGCTGTACAGCACAGGTACAGCAATCATTGAGAAATTTCCTCCTTTTCTTCATGAAATATGACCCAATAGTTTCAGTTATTTGTAAACTCACCAGTGACCCACAGTGGCAGTGTGTTGCTGAAAGTTGTATAGGCTGGTTTTCCTCTCTCTATTTCACACAAATAAACTCCTGTTTGTTTTAGAGCAACAGAACTGACAGTGTATTTTCCTCCAGCTCCTCTACTGCTGTCTGAGAGAAGTTTATGATGATAACTATTGTCTGTGTAAAATGCAGATATTTACGATTATCAACAATTTTTTTTTTACACAAAAATGATTTTCACTGAACTATTCTAGTCAGACTGGTTCAGTACTCAAGCTCAATATTAGTTCTTGTATAAAACCATTCTAAAAAGGCTGCTAAATTATATGCAATCACATGAAAATTGTAAGAACTGTTGCATCATTTCATATAAACAGGTTATAATCGATCCACATATAAATCCAAAGAGATCAACAAAAATGTAACAAATTAACAAATAAGAGAATGACATCTGAAAAATATTTAGGAGTTTCACAAGAAAAAATTATATGGTAACACTTTATTTTGAAGGTCCATTTGAGTATTAGTAGACTGTCTGTTTAATATCTGCTGACACTGCTCCTTCAACAGACATTTAACTAACTATAAGAAACTTTGCAAGTACATGTCAACTTACACTAACACTAACCCTAACTGCAACCTAACAGCCTACTTATAATCTAATGACAATAGTTGACATGTAGATACAATCTAACTAATATTCAACAAACCGACCATCAAAATAAAGTGTGACCAATTATATTCACAAATTAATGTAATAGAATATACTTATTAAAAAAGTATCCACAAATAGGTTTTTAACCCCAACCACGACTCTACCAGCAGCCATTCATAAAACAGTTGTCAAATTTTATATTAATATCTATCATTTCATGCAATTCCTCCATGATTTCTTTAGATTTATTTGTAGATCGTGAAATATTTATTTGAAAAAAATGCAGGAATTCTATCCCCACAGAAGCAGATCATAACCTACCAGAAAGCATTAGCATGTACCAGTTGAATGTCCAGCCTGTAGAGGAGCCGTTAACCTCACAAGTCAGAGTCACTGAATCTCCTTCAGTCAACCAGTTCTGTGGAGAAACACTTAAAGCTGTCTGGGCTCTGTCTGAAATAGAGAAATCCCTCATTAATAACATGATAAACTTGTGTGCATATGAAGAGATGATCAAACTCACCTGATACTGTCAGTGCAACTGCATCACTCATTTGTGATCTGCGTGAACCTTTACTCTCAGTGCCAGAACAGGAGTATTTACCTGCATAAGACTCAGTAACATTGAATATATATTCCTGTAAACCACTGAATGCACCTTCTGAACCTTCTTTATACCAGCTGTACAGCCAGCTAGAGACTCCTTCAGCATTAATGTCACATCTGAGAGTGACTGACTCTCCTCTGAACACATGCAGATCAGGAGTAATCCTCACACTGGCTTTAGGATAGTCTGTATAACAGCAACAGTTCACAATTAAATAGTGTTATAATTATTATAATCAGATGTGATTTGTTTAGTGTCTATATAGTTGTCACTGCTAAACACACAAGTTAAATAAGCTTAAGCCTGTGTTTTAGCCTGCAGTCATAACTTTTTCATTGACTTACAAAATTAAGCGTACAGTATCAGCATCCGCCAATCAGATTTAAGGGTTAAGTTTTCCGTTTACCATTAACAATTTCTAAAATCAACATGAAGCATCATAACACTCCTGTTCAATACTAGTTTTCACAGTTCATTGTAGAATCACAAATATGTTATGAATGATATGAAGTAAATTCTCTCACCTTCAACATGTTCAGAGTGGATGTTTGAAATCAGCACTAAAAGCACAAAGAGAAAAACTCATTTGATGAGAAAATGTGTATTTTACACAATAGTCCAATCATCTCCCGCTGTTCAAACACCAGAATATCTGCCAAAATATTTCTTTCTTTTATGTTTTGTCTGTTTAGCAGCATTGACAAAAAATAGAAACAATATATTCACTTTATATTTCCTTCTTGAACAGCACTAACTGCACACATTGACTTTCCGGCTCATCTTTCACTAATATATAATCATGCACAAGAGTTGGACTTAATATTAATATTGGACTAATAGTCTGAGAGCAGCTTTAGAAAAAAAAAGAAAAGCATAAACACTACAGCACTTGATGGTGTTTTATATTATGATAGCAATGAAACATCTACTGAAAATCATCCAGAGAAAATAATACTCACAGAGCACAAGAGGAAGTTGACTGAGTTTCATACTGACTGAATAATGACAGACACTTGAAGACACAGACTGTGTTAAAGCCTCAAGACTTCCTGAAACATTAAAGACACACAAATGTACCTTGTGAATTACAGAAGATCTTTTGGTAATCTTTATCTTGTAACATGTTTCAGGGTCAAAGAATATCAAATTGAAATTGCTCAGATTTTGGTATTTTGAAAATAATATGTTTAATGAACTGGAAAAATAAAACAAGATTTTGACGGCACTAATGTAATTAGGCAACATTTTCAACAATAACTTGGAAGGAACAGAAATAGCTGAAGTGGTGAATCAATACTGCTTCCTCTATACTGGTAAACTGAGCTGAAATAGACCAAACCAAACCACTAAAACTATTAGCTCATTTCTGTTCTGTCCAGCCTCTTATTACAACAGTGTCAACACTAAATACAACCCCAAATCAGAAAAGGTTGAGTCAGTAGGGAAAATGCAAATAAAAATGAAGTAGTGGTTTCTAAATTTACTTTGACTTGAATTTCATTGCAGACAAAACAAACATTGTTTAATGTGTTTCTCGTTATTTTTATTGTTTGTTTTTTCTCAAGGTAAACACTTATTCTGATTCTGATTTTTGCAACAAATTTCAAAAAATGTTGGAGCAGTAAAGCATTTACCACTTTGTAATGTTGCTATTCCTTTTCACAACACTTAAAAGAGGTTTAGGGACTGAAGACTGCAAGTGATGAAGTGCTTCATGTGTCATTACAATAGTGCCATATCTTGCTAAAATAGCCTAAGCTATATTAAAATAATTTAAAGAATTACAAATATCAGATATTATAATATGACATTAAATAAATAAACCAATATAAAACAAACAAAACCTAACTATAATATTGTAGGTATACATAAATCAAACTGTTTTAAAGCCATATTAAAATTTCCTTTTATAAAAGCTTCTCTGAAAAAAAAAGATTTTAGATATCTTCTAAAAACAATAAACACCGGAGGAGGTTTAAAATATTATTTATAAAGTATTTGGATGCAGTGATATTAATCAAATCGTGCAAAAAGAGCATTTTTTTGGGTGAGTTAAAGCAGAAACTAGGCATAATTTTTTCTGTCATCCAGTCCGGTGCAGCGCCTCTTTATAAACGCATCGGGGAAAACTGCAAATACAAAATTTGGTCTGCGTCCCAAAACAAGTGTTTATGTGTTTATATGACGTGGTAAAATTAAAAAATGAAATTTTAAATACATGAAGAGCTTCATTAGTGGATAGCTGCTTAACGCAACGAAATACAGGCTATATTTTATTACTTGCCCTTATGTGCTGAAATACTTAGGCTGAATACTTTGGGCTGACTGTTTGACTAAGTCTATCAAAATGAGGATGTTATAAAATACATTTTCTACCGAGTTTTTAACACAGAATTTCTGTGGTTTGAAATTATAGATGGTGTGCTCCCTGCGCTGGCGAGACCACTCAATGTTCGATGCCAACAGTCGTCGGTGAGTAAACAAATATGATGAATGGAAATACACAGGCCTGTGCGTTTAGACATATAATGTAATGCTGTACTGTAACATGTCATTTGTTTATTTCGGTTGTCTTCATTTTAATGGTTTCATGATGATGTGGTGTGCTTTATCTGCCTGATTCCCGCTGAAGTGGGCAGGTTGTGTGACGTTTGATTCGGTAGACGTTCTGGGGGCGGGGTTTGCTTGACGCACTGCGAGCTACTAGCCTGACAGTGGAAACGGGACATGATTTCGGTGTCACTGCTCAACCTCCTGGGCGATTGGCCCAGCCCGATAAAAGCCCTGGCTCACACTGGCCCGACAGTGGAAATGCAGCTAATAACAGGACAAGACTGAAGCACGCGGCCCCAATGTAAACACAGAACCACGTGCTTGGACAACACAAACACAAATAGACACAAGACACCTTACCGTGCACTCACACTATGCAACGCTCATGTTTAATATCAGTGCCAACCAAAACCGAAACCAACTAGACGGAGAAGCTGAGAAAGAAAAACAGCTGACAGAACGAAACACAAACACAACGCAAACCCCGCGCGCCCGTATCAAGAACAACGCGCACCCAGAGACACACAATGACAAAACAAGTACTCGACCCAAGAAAACTCGACCAGAGCACAACAGGACAGGACAAGACAAAGCTAGTGTTTGGACTCTGCCACCAAAACAAGAATTTACAAGACCAGAGTGACAAAACCCTGACAAGTGTTTTTTTTTTTTTTAGATATTTAGATATTGCTTAATTTTTGCTTCATGCAGCGCTGGATGAAGTTGTGCTTGATTTAGATAGTAATTTTTGCCATTCATATTTATTCAAACCAGCTGTCACGGTCATCAGTGATCCAGCCTGTGCAGATGGCTTACAGACTACAAATCTGCTGGTATTTGGACTACAAGTTCCAGTCATGCACCACACTCACACACACACCTGCTCCAAGTCTCCATGAATTACACTCCCACAGCTGATGCTGCTCATGGACTGATTACACACATATATATATATATATATATATATATATATATATATATATATATATATATATATATATATATATATATATATATATATATATATATATATATACGGCTCACTTTGACACTTTCATTGCTGAGTCGAGTTATACTGAGCTGTGAACATTACAATGTAGTTTCCTGGCCTGCCTTCTGTGCTTGAACCTTGCTTTGTTTTGATTTTTTTACTTTGTCTGCTGCCTGCCTTTTGACCATCTGCATGTTTATTGACCATGACTCTGGATTGCCCGTATACAAACAAATTACAAATAACAAATTACAGTACACATTTTCTGTTTGTTTTTATTTTTCCAGATTTAGTTTAATACATAACATTACTTATAATAATGTTTACACTGTTGGTCAGTAAAGCATGTTTGCAGTTGGAGTACACAAATTAGTTACATCATGAATGTCATATTTAAACTGTTTTTCTGACCTCTATGACTAAAACATACACAAAATCCCAATGAATCTTCGCAATTAATGGAATTACTCTGCAAAACATCTGAATACCAAAATATAATAATTATTCTGCTTCTCTTTTTTCTCATGAATTTAATTGATTAATACAGAAAGGTTAGATTTGTTTACAGTGTGTAACTGGGTACCTGTAATCACATTTAAAAAAATAAATAAATGAACAGCAATGCCCTTAATATTTTCACTGGGGTTTCTTTACAGTACTGAATCACTTAATAACTCAGCCCTCAGTAATGATTACAGTGACTAAAAATAGATCATTCAGTCGTGTTTCCTCTCATTCTACAGCATTTGACAATCAGCACAACTGTCACTAGCAGATATGGACAAACTGCCAGACCAGAACTGAGTATGTTGAAGACAGAGATCTGAGATGCTGAACCAGACACTGAAACAGAAACACACGAGCACTTTATCATGCACTACATCTGAACAAGGACAAATGAAGAAATAAATGAGCTGACAGTTTCAGATACTCTCACCTCTGACTGAGATCCAGCTCTTGGGTGACTCTCCTTCTGTGTGTTTGCAGTAGTAGAAACCCTCATGTGACTTTGAGACAGCAGTGATGATCATCTCTGAGGTTTGATTCTGTACGAGTGATCCATCCTTATAGAAATCAGCTCTGAGCTTTGCTGGAGTTGTAGATTTATATAAGCAGTGTAGAGTCAGAGTATCTCCTTCAGTCACAGGATGAACAGGACTCTCCAGAATCACACCAGCTACACAAACACAGCAAACATCAACACACACATCAACAGAGTGCTGACATTATACAAGATAAGAGAAAATTAAATGTTGATATTTATATTAAAATAGGGACACTGAATGTCACATTTTGTGTGTTTTAACAGCTACTTATTGTGTTCAGAGTACTTTTCATGTCTAATATTATTTGGTTGTTTTGTTTTCTGCTTTCAAATTCATTTCACAACTGTCACAATCATCAAGTCAATCTTTTTATCTAATGATTTTACATGAACAAAGAAATAAATAATTACAGACGCTCAGACTTACATTGTACAGTGATATTAACAGGATTATTGTTCTCTCCAGATTCAGACTGACACCAGTAAACTCCAGTGTCTGATGTGGTGAGGCTGACTGTACATGTAGATCTTGTTTGTGATGAACAATCACTCATCTGCCTGCTGTCTGTGTATCTTCTGACTCTCCATCCAGTAGAGTTACTCTTGTCTTCACAGCTCAGAGAAAGAGAGTCATCTTCAAAGTGTTGAGCTCTGCTGGGACTGATGACCAGAGAGACTGGAGGAGAAACACTTGCTGTACAGCACAGGTACAGGAATCATTGAGAAATTTCCTCCTTTTCTTCATGAAATATGACCCAATAGTTTCAGTTATTTGTAAACTCACCAGTGACCCACAGTGGCAGTGTGTTGCTGTAAGTTTTATATGTTGGTTTTCCTCTCTCTATTTCACACAAATAAACTCCTGTGTGTTTTAGAGCAACAGAACTGACAGTGTATTTTCCTCCAGCTCCTCTACTGCTGTCTGAGAGAGGTTTATGATGATAACGATTGTCTGTGTAAAATGCAGATATTTACGATCATCGACAATTTTTTATGCACAAAAATGATTTTCACTGAACTAGTCTAGTCTAGTCAGACTGGTTCAGTACTCAAGCTCAATATTAGTTCTTGGATAAAACCATTTAAAAAGGCTGCTAAATTATATGCAATCACATGAAAATTGTAAGAACTGTTGCATTATTTCATATAAACAGGTTATGATCGATCCACATATAAATCCAAAGAGATCAACAAAAATGTAATAAATTAACAAATGAGGGAATGACATCTGAAAAATATTCAGGAGTTTCACAAGAAAAAAATATATGTTAACACTTTATTTTGAAGGTCCATTTGAGTATTAGTAGACTGTCTGTTTAATATCTGCTGACACTGCTCCTTCAACAGACATTTAACTGACTATAAGAAACTTTGCAAATACATGTCAACTTACACTAACACGAACCCTAACTGCAACCTAACAGCCTACTGATAATCTAATGACAATAGTTGACATGTAGAAACAATCTAACTAATATTCAACAAACCGACCATCAAAATAAAGTGTGACCAATTATATTCACAAATTAATGTAATAGAATATACTTATTAAAAAAGTATCCACAAATAGGTTTTTAACCCCAACCACAACTCTACCAGCAGCCATTCGTAAAACAGTTGACAAATTTTATATTAATATCTATAATTTCATGCAATTCCTCCATGATTTCTTTAGATTTATTTGTAGATCGTGAACTATTTATTTGAAAAAATGCAGGATTTTTATCCCCACAGAAGCAGATCATAACCTACCAGAAAGCATTAGCATGTACCAGTTGAATGTCCAGCCTGTAGAAGAGCCGTCAACCTCACAGATCAGAGTCACTGAATCTCCTTCAGTCAACCAGTTCTGTGGAGAAACACTTAAAGCTGTCTGGGGTCTGTCTGAAATAGAGAAATCCCTCATTAATAACATGATAAACTTGTGTGCATATGAAGAGATGATCAAACTCACCTGATACTGTCAGTGCAACTGCATCACTCATTTGTGATCTGCGTGAACCTTTACTCTCAGTGCCGTTACAGGAGTATTTACCTGCGTCAGACTCAGTAACAGACCTTATTGTGTATTCCTGTAAACCACTGAATGCACCATCTAAACCTTCTTTATACCAGCCGTACAGCCAGCTAGAGACTCCTTCAGCATTAATGTCACATCTGATAGAGACTGACTCTCCTCTGAACACATGCAGATCAGGAGTAATCCTCACACTGGCTTTAGGATAGTCTGTAACAGCAACAGTTCACAATTAAATTAATGTGATATAAATATTCATTCATTCATTTTCTTGTCGGCTTAGTCCCTTTATAAATCAGGAATCGCCACAGCGAAATGAAGCGCCCACTCATCCAGCATATGTTTTACGCAGCAGATGCCCTTTCAGCTGCCTCCCATCACTGGCAAACATCTATACACACTTATTTTTACACATATACTACAGTCAATTTAGCTTAGCCAATGCACCTATAGCACATGTATTTGGACTGGGGGAAACCGGAGCACTCAGAGAAAACCCACGTGAACACGAGGAGAACATGCAAACTCCACACAGAAATGCCAACTGACCCAGCCGAGGCTCGAACCAGCTTGAACAGCACTACCTGTGATATAGTTATTATAATCATATATGCTTTGTTTAGTGTCTAAACAGTTGTCATTGCTAAACACACAAGCTAAATAAGCGTAAGCCGTAGTGTGTTAGCCTGCACTTTTTCATTGACTTACAAAACAATATTAGTTACTGTATATACAGTACAATATCAGCCAATCAGATTTAAGGCATAAGTTTACCATTTACCATTAACAATTTCTAAAATCAACATTTGGCATCATAACAATCCTTTTCAATGCAAGTTTTCACAGTTCATGTAGAATCACAGATAAGTTTTGAATTATGTTAAGTAAATTCTCTCACCTTCAGTGTGTTCAGAGTGGATGTTTGAAATCAGCACTAAAAGCACAAAGAGAAAAACTCATTTCAAACACTGATGAGAGAATGTGTATTTTATCTCAATCATCGCTTGCTGTTCAGAAATATTTATTTCTTTTATGTTTTGTCTGTCAAGCAGCAACGATAAAAAAGGGCAAAGATATATTATAATCACATCTTTTTCTTGATAAGCACTAACTGCACACATTTACTCTCCCAGGCTCATCTTTCACTAATATATAATCATGGAGTAGAGTTGATGAGCAGCTTTAGAAAAAAAAAAGAAAATCATAAACACTACAGCACTTAATTGTTTTTATAATATGATAGCAATGAACATCTACTGAAAATCATCCAGAGACAATAATACTCACAGAGCACAAGAGGAAGTTGACTGAGCTCCATACTGACAGAATAATGACAGACACTTGAAGACACAGACTGTGTTAAAGCCTCAAGACTTCCTGAAACATTAAAGACACACAAGCGTACCTTGTGAATTACAGAAGTACTTTTGGTAATCTTTATCTTGTAACATGTTTCAGGGTCAAAGAATATCAAATTGAAATAGCTCAGATTTTGGTATTTTGAAAATAATATGTTTAATGAACTGGAAACAAAACAAGATTTTGACGGCACTAATGTAATTAGGCAACATTTGCATCAATACCTTGGAAGGAACAGAAACAGCCGAAGTGGTGAATCAATACTGCTTCCTCTATACTGGTAAACTGAGCTGAAATAGACCAAACCAAACCACTAAAACTATTAGCTCATTTCTGTTCTGTCCAGCCTCTTATTACAACAGTGTCAACACTGAATACAACCCCAAATCAGAAAAGGTTGAGTCAGTAGGGAAAATCCAAATAAAAAATGAAGTAGTGGTTTCTAAATTTAATTGAATTTTTTCTCAAGATAAACACTTATTCTGATTCTGATTTTTGCAACACATTTCAAAAAATGTTGGAGCAGTAAAGCATTTACCACTTTGTAATGTTGCTATTCCTTTTTACAACACTTGAAAGAGGTTTAGGGACTGAAGAACGCAAGTGATGAAGTGCTTCAGGTGTCATTTTGTACAAATTTGCATTTGGCATTTGGGCAACAGTACGGGGTCTTCATTGTCGCATTTTGCACTTCAAAATGCGACACGCAATCTCGGGACTGCAGCAGGCCAGTCAAGTACATGTATCCTCTTTCTCCGCAGCCAGGACTTTGTAATGTGTGCAGAATGTGGTTTTGCATTGTCTTGTTGAAATGGAAAATAAGGCAGCATATTGTTCTCCAACATCTCATTGTACTTTTAAGCATTAATGGTGCCATCACAGAAGTGCAAGTTATCATTAACAAGAGCACTGACACAACCCTATACCACGACAGACCCTGGCTTTTGGACATGTTGCTGGCAACAGTCTGGATGATCCTTTTCTTCTCTCAAACAATACTGGAAATACAGATTCATCTGACCACAGTACACATTTACCAGTGTTGGGAAAAAGAGTAACATATTACGATCTGTAGTCACTTAAAAAAAGAAATGTAAATAAATGTGTTACTTTTTAAGGAAGCAATGTGAATATATGTGCTATCTTATTTTTTTGTAATTGCATTTTTTTTAAAGAGGTAAGGTAGAAAATTGCAATATATTACGTTTCACCCAACACTGACGTTTACACTGTGTGATGGTCCATCTTTGATGCATCGGAGCTCAGAGAAGTCTACAGTGCTTCTGGACACTTTTAACATAGGGCTTCCTTTTGGCACAGTACAGATTACACTGCCATTTGTGGATGTAACTCTGTATTGTGGTACTTGTCTAAGGTTTATTAAAGTAGTCTGGAAACCATGTGTTGATATCACTTTTAAATGAATGAGGATTCTTGATGTAGTGCCGCCTGAAGGGATCCACGGTAGTTGAGCGTAAGCTCATGCCCTTGTCCTATAAGCAATAAATTCCTCCAGATTCCTTGAATATTTTAACTATGTTATGCACTCTTTGAGGAACAAAAGTAATTTCAATAATTCTATAATTTTTTCATGTATTTGTTGGCAAACTGATCCTCACTAATCTTTGCTCCTAATGGACCAGACCTTTCTTGGTCGCTACTTTTATCCTAAATCATAATTACAGTCACCTGTTGACACCACCTGACTAAAATCCCATCATTAGTGAACTAATTTACTGATTACTAGCCCTAAACTGCTCCTGTCTCAACTTTATTTTTGGAATGTGTTCCAGGTCTGAATGACAGGAAGGGATGCAGATTTACAAATGAAATGAAGTTGACCAGACCAAACATCGAATATTTTATGTTCATATTGTCAGCAATGAAATGCAAGTCAAAGTAAAATTTGGAAATCACAACTTTTTTTCTTTTTTCCATACTGCCCCAACCTTTTCTGATTGGGGTTGTGCATCTATACATTTAAATGCAGTTTAATAGTTAATACAGTCATGCAACACACACTTTCAGAATGAGCTGCAACCGCCTTTAATCATACATCCTGCAGAGAGTTCAGCCTGTGATAACACAAATAAACAAATTGCTCATGTACTCATATCAAACATTTATCTCTGATTTATAGCTAAAAATACTAAAATAGCATAGAAAGACATATTAATTGCAAATCTTGGAGGATAAAGTGGCAGAAACAGTCAAATAATAGAAAGTGCAAAGGTCAGAATAGGAACAGGGACACAGTCAAATGTACTTAGCTCAGTACAATGAGGCAACAACAGCACTATTAGAGCTTTCAGGAAAAAAAAGAAGAACAAAAATCACAATTGCACTTCAGTTTTAGGTTTTACTAACTGTCTTTGATTTATTTTTCTGTGCTAAATGTATTTACATACTTAGCATGCTCTTACACTGAAGAACAGCGAGGTCTGCTAGTGTTATTTATATAAAAAAAAAAGCGATAAACAATGAATCTGCTTCAAATGGAAAGCTGGTAAATATACAAGCAAAAAATAGTGTTAATACAATGAGAGATAATATTTTAACAGCATGTATGATGTTTCTAAGACCGTTTCACTGCACACAGTTGGTGTGGCTTCGGATTCAGTGTGAAGCCCACTACTGGTGTGAGATCTAGATCATCTTCAGACACTCCAGGAGGAGGAGTGAAGCGGAAATACTGAAGGAGAGACGTGAAGAAGAGGAAGAGCTCCATCCTGGCCAAACTCTCTCCAATGCAAACCCTGCGTCCTGAGAGAAATCATAAACAGAAGACTGAAAAAAAGCACCTGTGATGGGATAAATATAATTAATGAATTCAAAGTTTCCTCTACCTGCACCGAAGGGCATGAAGGCGTCCTTTTTCACAAACTGTCCCTGTTTATTTAGAAAGTGTTTTGGGTTAAAGCTGTCAGGCGTTTCCCACTCATTTTCATCCCTCAACACAGAGACCAGTAGTGGGAACACAGGGGTGCCCTGCACAAAACATCAGATGCATCAGTTATAAATAGTGCAAACACAACAAAATGTGGACATCACTTTTATTATGGTCACTCTTCATTTATTGTCCAATTCACGCTATTAACAAACCATTAACTGCGACTTTAGCTCAATTAATTACTAATTAGCTATTTATTATTAGTTAATAAGGTAGAAGTTTGTGTGACAAGCTTGTGGCATCATATTCAAAAAGACTTAAGGCTGTAATTGCTGCCAAAGGTGCATCAAAAAAGTATTGAGCAAAGGCTGTGAATACTGATGTACATGTGATTTTTCAGGTTTTTTATTTTTATAAAAGTTTTTAACAATTTCAAAAACTCTTTTGTCACATTGTCATTATGCGGTATTGTGTGTAATTTTGAGGAAATAAATGAATTAAATTCATTTTGGAATAAGGCTGTAACATAAACAAATGTGGAAAAGTGAAGCGCTATGAAAACTTTCCGTATGCACTGTGTAAATGATCACAGCCTCATCGGTAGATATTGTTATTGGCTTCTTACTGCCTTATGTGAAATAAATTTCCCTCTGGAGAACACAAAGTTGACCTAAACATATTAATTAACACCTTAAGTTCCTATTGTATACAGACCTTTTTGATGAAATATCCGTTCAGATGAACATCGCATGTGGTCTGACGGGGGGCACCGATGGGTGAAATGTCTGCAAATCTTTGAATTTCATGGATCACAGCATCTGTATATGGTAAGTTTTTCCTGTCCTCTACAACTGGCTGACGTCCACCGATCACTCGTTCAATCTCATCTTGAACCTTGGCTTATATTCAGAAGAACCACATTATTAAATTCCCCATTTATTTTTGACACTTTGTATTATACTTGCATATTAGAATTATCACATATAAAAAACTTACCATACACTATTTAATCAAAAAGTTGTATATAGTAATTTTTACAACATAACAAAGCATTACGAATGTGCAATAGTTTAATTCAATGTGTCTTGTCATTTTTTTTGGCAGTTTTGTGGCAACTTTTTAAAATTACAACTGAAGACTACATCTTTGCTGTGTAAATGCAAAAATACCTTGTATTTCAGGGTATTTGGCCATTAGCAGAAGACCCCAACGTAATGTTGTGACTGTAGTATCGGTACCAGCCCCGAACAGGTTGTTAACAGTACAATATAAATTGTTTGAATTGTACAGTGAGTCTGTTTTGCCAGATTCCTGCATGGTGATAGCCAAAACACGATGACATCAGAACAATAAATGTGCAAAAACAGTGTGATTATTTGTGCACAGTAATTAATAAAAATGATGAAACAGTACCTCATCCTTCTGCTGTCGTATGAGGAAACTGTCAACAATTCCTCTGGGGTTAAAAGGGTCCAAAGTCTTCATTACACCATTTATTAATTCCTCATTTTGTTTAAAGGTATCTCTGAGATTCTTCACAATTTGATTCCGATTCGCCACAATGGGACGAAGCCAAGGGAACATGTTGTAGATCTACAAACAAGCACATAATATTCAAGAATAAAGCTGCAGTCGCACTAGAGTTTGAGCATGTGAAATTCTGTTGAACAGCGCTGCGAAAAGATGCAGGATTAAGTCAGATTATTAGACATTTAAAAAAGCGAGCGATTGCTTCATATTTAAAATTTCTGTACACAGAGGTCATGTTTTGATCCTCGATTGGTCTCACGCACTCAAGTGATGCGATTTCACAGGTCAGAGTTCACCATGTTTAAACTTTGTAACACAGCGAACTGCAAAACTTGACGCAAGACCTTGCGTTTCCAGTTTGACGCATTTACGTGCATATGAATGGAAGTCTATGGGAAGTAAAGTGCAGTGTGACTGCAGCTTTATTCTGAATAACATCACTACGAGAAGCTGCTGTTACATGTACACCAAGCTCTCCTGCTTATCCTTGATCCCAATCACTTTAGTTCTGAGTTCATATACACCTAATCACCATTCCCCAATCTGCACTTCCCTGGCTATAAGCACCCCATTCCCACCCACTCTATAGTCCAGTTAAGAAAAGTTAAAGAAAGCAGGTAAGACAAAAACAGAATCCAAAAAAATAAAATAAACAAGTAAAAGACAGGGTGAGACTATGGTAAAACCTGAAAACATGGTAAAAATTACATGAGGAATCGGTCAGTCAGTCAGTCAGTCAGTCAGTTGACAGGGACCTCTGGTAGATTTATGTGTGAACAACAGGCGTGAACGGCACTCGCGAGAAAAACTTGAGATCTCAAAAAGCCAACCCAAGCTCATTCTGAAAACGAAGCACCACAGACATTTCTGGAGACCACGATTTACGTGGCCAGAGGTACGTATGGCCGCATTTTGTTTTTTCGAGCGAACGCTACAGGGTGGTGTGACGCCGCTTCTCTTCTCTGCACTTTCCTGCCGCAAACCAGTTTGTCCGCTTAGCTGCTAGTGTTACGTCGGCGGAGCAGAGGCCAGGAGGAGGAGGAGCTGGCCACGGCGACGAGCGGGTTCGAGTCCAGGGAAGATCGGTTCCAGAAATCAGGTAAGATGAAAAACAGAACCCAAAAAATAAAAGCGAACGAGTTTGTGACGGGACGAGAATGCGGTGAAATCCGAAAACGCGGTCAAAATCAGACGAGGGCTTTTGCTTTTCTTTTCTGGACGGCTTTTGTAAATCGTTGCTTAGGTTTAGGGAAGGAGGAGGGTGGCTTGGTTGGCCGATTGTCTGATTGGCCGGCCGCCTAGTCGATCGTTCAGTCATTCAGTCTGTCAGTCGGACAGACAGTCGATCGACAGCGGCCTCTGGTGGCTTTTCATGGGAGAACAGCGCGGGTGCGAATGACGCACGCTCTCGAGAGGCGTTCGAGACGCGAAAACGCGCACAGTGACCTCTGGCGGATTCGCGAAAACAAAAACTGCACAAATACGTACCTCCCGGGACGTATTTGCACTCTCCAGAAATAAAATTAAAAGGATAATTCAACTGCAGTGAATTCATGTGAGGTGAAGAACATCCCACGAGTAAGCTTTAGCAAATTATGTGGTGCTCCGCGTTTGCTGTAAACGCAACATTAGAATGATCATCTGAAACTAAAACAGCGGGAATGGAGCAAAAAAAACTCTGCTTATTACTCAAAAACTTTAGTCAAACACTCAAAAACAACAGCTGCGTAATTTATATGATGTAGACCTACACAAATGAGTCTGCGTTAGTCAGCAGTTGTTATATAGGAATAACATACATTCATTCATTTTTTTGTCAGCTTAGTCCCTTTATTAATCCGGTGTCGCCACAGCGGAATGAACCGCCAACTTATCCAGCAAGTTTTTTTTACGCAGTGGATGCCCTTCCAGCCGCAACCCATCTCTGGGAAACATCCACACACACATTCACACACACACTCATACACTACGGACAATTTAGCCTGCACAATTCACCTGTACCACATGTCTTTGGACTATGGGAAACCGGAGCACCTGGAGGAAACCCACGCAAAGGCAGGGAGAACATGCAAACTTCACTACGAAACATCAACTGAGCCGAGGTTCGAACCAGCGACCTTTTTGCTGTGAGGCGACATCACTACCTACTGCGCCACTGCCTCGCCCGGAATAACATTCAGTACATTGGAATATCATGACTGACCAATCAAACTCAAGCTTTCCAGACAGTGATGTAATAATTAAGAACCCCAATCCACATATTATTTATTGGCGTGATCACATGAATGCCTGAAATCTGTACCTGAACAGAAGGAGATCCAGTCAACTTCATGTTTTCATAAGCCCGTCCGACCATGCGATGTAACTTAGTGTTGCTGTACTCAAATCTGACGCTGAAGACAATTGAAGCGATGATGTTCGAAATGGCCAAGGCTAAGGGCAGTTTTGTTTCAAATGGGTTTCCTGCACAAGAGTAAGCAAGATGTAAATACTCAAATCATTTAAAGTCACGTCATCATCTTGTCCTCAAGGTTGACAGTCTTACCTCCAAACTTCTCAAATTCCTCCTTTACATATTTAATCTCTTCAATGATCAGCTCTTCGCTTCTCTTTCTGCCCATTCCAAAGTCTCGTAGGGTGGACAGAGCAAAGCGTCTCATTTCTCTCCAGTTTTCACCATTGGAAAACGCAATGCCTACAGATTTAGAGACGTGTTAGGTGTAATAAAAACCTGTTTATTATGTGGTTATCCGAATATGAGAAAAACATCTTACCATATCCACGGTTGAAATCATGGAATATGGGTGAAATATCTCTATCTCCAAACTCCTCTGAAAGGTTCACTAGTGCCTCCTTGACTATTTTGTATCCTGACAGTATTACCACCTTTTTAGGCCCCAAATACACCGTGTAAATTGGCCCGTATTTTTTCGACAGCTGTAAAACAAAACAAAGAAGAGCCTTAAATAATGACTGTAATACACAATCCATCCACTACTATCAGCATACAGGACTAACCTGCCCTCACTGGTCACACATTAACCATAATTACACTATAATGGGAACACCGAGCTACAATTTTAAAAACAAAGATTATTCTATCTCTTATATTCCATTTACCAATCTGGCTGGCTGACAGACTGACTATTTATCTGTATGTTGATCTGTTTTTATTGTTTATTTATATTAGCAGAACAATGCTAGGTTAATGAAATTTCTAAACAAGCCAGATTATAGCAACAGAGCTGATTTACATCCTGTTGGTACACACAAAAACAGAACAATAGACTCAAATATACATTTGATTACACTTTAATTTGATGATCCATTTGTTGAAGTTAAGTTACATTGCATCTACATGCCAACTAATTTTTATTAGATTATGAGTAGACTGTTAGGTTGGGTTTAGTGCCAGTGGAAGTTGAGATATACTTTGTTATACTCAGTTAAATGTCTGTTGAAGGAGCAGATTTAATAGATATTAAGCAGACATTCACTAATACTCAAACAGACCATCAAAATAGAGTGTTACCTTACATTTAAATACAAAAATAAGAAAATAATACTTTAAGATACAGTTGAAGTCAGAATTAATAGCCAGTGTTTATTTTTTCCCCAATTTCTGTTTAACTGGGAGCAGATTTTTTTCAACGCATTTCTAAACATAATAGTTTTATTAACTCATCTCTAATAACTGATTTATTTTATCTTGATGACAGTACATCATACTTGACTAGATATTTTTCAAGACACTTCTATACAGCTTGAAGTGACATTTAAAGGCTTAACTAGGTTAATTGGGTTAACTAGGCAGGTTAGGGGAATTAGACAAATTATTGTATAACAATGAATTTGTTCTGCAGACTATCAAAAAAATATATACCTTAAAAGGGCTAATAATTTTGACCTGAAAATGGTTCTTAAAAAAATAAAAACTGCTTTTATTTGAGCCAAAATAAAACAAATAAGACTTTCTCCAAAAGAAAAAATATTATCAGACATACTGTAAAAGTGTCCATGCTCTGTTAAACATAGTTTGGGAAATATATATATATAAAAAAAAGAAAACAAATTCAAAGGGGGGCAAATAATTCTGACTTCAACTGTATATATATATATATATATATATATATATATATATATATGTATATATATGACCAACATATTGTGTATATGACCAACACAATCTCACGGCAACTATATGATTTAGTATCTAATTCTTTTACTTCATACGATCTCATTTATACAATTTAGTATGATTTGCAATGAAGGTTGAGTTAAGGGGTGGGGTTTAGTGCTACGCCCCCTTTTTAAAATTGCACAGTTTCATACGAGTGAACGGATTAGCCACTAAACTGACAAACGTAAAATAGTTACGTTTCCTTGTGAGATCAGGCTGACTTGGCAACCTATTCCAATATTTTAATCCTTAGTGCAGACATTGTTTTCTTTCAAAAATATGTTCACCTTTATGTCACACTTTATTTAATAAGGCACAATTCTTTCTATTAGCAAATCATCACTTTCATATCAATATAATATCAATAAAATTTTAGCTCAAGAAACTTTGAATTTGCTGTGTTTTAATAGTTATTAGTTTATGTATTGGGTAGGATTAGGGGTGTGAAATAAAGACATGCTACCAAACTCAAAACTCCATAAATATTTATTTATTTATTTATTTTATTTTATTTTATTTTTATGTTGTTTTAATACAAATACTTGCATCAACTTCTTTAATTTCAAACCTGGAATCTGGAATTTCAAGCACCTCCTCTCTCAAGAATATGTTTAATTGTGCCATCTCTAGAGATCATACACAGGTTGTTTTTTTATGAGTTTAAAAATATACCAGATTTGACCAGCCACTCTGAAACATTAGCCAAAGCTGAAGTTAAATAGTCAAAACATTTCCAAATTTGTTTGAAAGAATAAAAAAATAACATAATCATCTGCTTATAACTGAATATTTATATTTTTACACACTCACAGGTAAGTCATTGTTGTGTATTGAAAATAAAAATGGTCTTAAGATAGAACCCTTTTGGGATGAGCACGGTATACGAGGGCTTTGTACCATCAATATATATGCGCTGTTTCCAATTTGAAAGATAAGCTTTTATCCAAAGTCTATTCTCTTCTTTGAAATTAAAGTTTGTTAACTTTGACAAAAGATCCTGCTGATCAACAGTGTCAGATGCCTTCCATAAATCTAAAAACCCAACACCAACAGATGCACTTTCAGCTTTCAAGAATATAACTTCCCCTCGGCTGATTCTGTTGAATAATTATAGTGAAAAAGGGAATTCCATTGGGTGTAAAGAAACAAAATGATTATTTTGATGATCAGTCAGAAGTTTAGCTACGCTGTAAACATAATTTTGCAGGATTTTAAATGTAAAATAAACTGTAACACTAAAGTGCTGCGGTAAGAACCAGTACCAGAGGTTTGTAGAGAATCCTAAGTCTATACTTAAGTAAAAGTACTAGTATTTGCAGAAATGTTTACTCAAGTAAAAGTGACAATCCTAAAATGAGTAAGAATAAAAAAGTATCTGATGAAAAAATTACTCAAGTAAATAGTTATTAGTTACTTTTCAAATATATAAGCAGTTTGTAATGTTTTTAAAACCATTTTACGGTCAATATTATTAGCCCCCTTAAGGCTTTTTTTTTTATTTCCTACAGAACAAACCATCGTTAATGTTTTGCCTAATTACCCTAACCTGCCGAATGAACCTAGTTAAGCCTTTAAATGTCACTGAATAGTAGTATCTTGAAAAATATCTAGATTTATTATGTACAAAAATGTTATGTAACATTGTATTATGTAAAATATGAATTGTCATCATGGCAAAAATATGTGTTGTGTTAATAACATCTTCTTTCTGTTGAATTGAAATTGAGGGAAAATATACAGGTAATAATTCTGACTTTATACAGTCAAACACACACACACACACACACACACACACACACACACACACACACACACACACACACACACACACACACACACACACACACACACACACACACACACACACACACACACACACACATACACACATATATATATATATATATATATATATATATATATATATATATATATATATATAATTTTATATATATAATTTTATATTTTAACAGTTAATAGTGCGAATGACTAAGATGTGCAGAGCTATTCCATATATATTTTAGTTATTCCATTAAACAGCAGTTGTATTTATGCCATAGTTATCAATAATGGCTAGGTTTCCTTACTACAGTATATGCGGTGAATAACTGAAATACATATATTGTTAAATTCCTGCATGACATTTCACTTTTTAAGTTTTTATTTTGTTTTTTGTTTATGTTTTTTCTGAGTTATGAACATTATAGTTGTGTGCTACATCTCATTTTTATAAATAATGGTTTATCTATCTACCTGTATGTCAGTGTGATCTGTTGGCATCTTCTTATCTCTCTGTTTGTGTATTTGCCAATTGACTTTATGCCCATGTCCTCAGTCACACTTATTCTTAGTAAACAATAACTGTTGTAAACAATTTATTTGTGTTGAATTTACACAAAAATTTAATTTGATAATGTTCAACTTAATTTGTTTGTTTAAATTCAGCCCAAATAAATTGTTTACAACCACTTAACTTAAAAGAATTGAGCAAATCCAAGGAATCATCTAAATTATTATCTTAACAATTGAATAATTTTTTTTTTAAGAACGAGGTGATCTCTACATTTGTCATTTATAAACACTCTACACTTTTCAGTAAGTGTCTTGTTGGCATGTATAGCAATAAAAGGAAAAGTTGAACCAAAAATGAAATTCAGCTATCATTTATTCACTTTTGACGTACACTGAAACAAACGATGCCTGCAAAATTGTTGCAAACAATTTATGTGTTGAATTTAAACAAACTAATTAAATTTAGTGATGTTCAACTTAATTTGTTTGCTTAAATTCAGCCCAAGTAAATTGTTTACAAGCACTTAACTTAAAGAAATTGAGTAAATCCAAGCAATCATGTTTGAGTCATTTTTCTCAGTGCATAACCTGTTTGAGAAGAAGAGTTTGATTTATTTTAAATGCTGTTTCTGGTACTCGTTGAATTCCAAAGTAAATTTTCTTTCCTACTATGGAAGTCAATGGATTCCAGCAGCCATTATCCTTTTAAATATTCCTTAAAAATGAATAAATAAAAAGGAGAAGGAGAATATACAATATGATGAGGTAATTTCTATTTATGGGTTAATTTTCCCTTTGATCAATAAAAGTACAAGACACCTGTTTATCCATCATTTTAATAGTAAATGTAGAAAACAGATCATCAAAATAAAAACACACTGATATTTTTGCTCACCTCCAAAAGGCTCAAGTAGGTTTTCTTGAGGTCGAGAATGTGCAGATTCCCAAGCAGAGGCAGAGGTTTGGGTCCTGGAGGATATTTCTCCTTATCCTGAGAGCTGGAGCTGCTGGAAAAGAGATAAATAACCAAAAACAGCAAAAGGGCACCCAGTATTGTACCTGTGGGAGAACCCTGCAACAGGAATGCTTCAATTAAAGCCATAGTCAGAATTCTACATGCACAAAAACGTATCACTGCTTTAAGACTGATGTGGGCTGCATGCTGTCTTGCCTTTATGTACTCTGAAGTTAAAACTTGGGAGGGGACATAAGAGACAACTGGGTGACCTTTGTCAAAATAAAACTGATCTTGGGATCAAGTCAAAATGAGGGGAAATTATATAATAGTCACAGGTTGGGTAATTTAAAAGCATAGGCTGACCCAAATCACAACTATCGCTGATTGTGTGAATGTTTGTTTTACAGTTTTAAAAAAGTCTAATTTAGCTGAATAAATATATTTTAATATTTTGTAGCATTTTCATATTTGCTATGCACATTTAATTAATAATCAATATTATTTTCAGGTAAAAAATGGGGGAAATATTTAAATAAACAGCAGATGCCTAGCTAAATTAATCTGTTCATAAATGAATCTGGTCAGACTTTATTTTAAGGTACAATTCTCACTATTTATACATTATAAAATAAGACTTTTAGCTCAATAAACTACTAATTATCTGCTTATTAATATTTATTAAGGTACTGTAGGAGTTGGGTTTAATTATTGGGTATATAATAAAATTATACGATAACACTTTAGTATAGAGATCAATTCCAGCTATTATCTACTGGATTATTACCAGCTTATTATTAAGAAATTGGCTGTTTATTATTAATTAAAAAGTATTAATAAACGTAGGAGCCAAAATTCATACTTACAAGTAAGTTAACATCTTAATAACAGGCAGGTAATAAGCCAGTAGTAATATTGTTCCTCAGACTAAAGTGTTTCCATTATTTTTTTTCCTTGCAAAAACTATTTGCATATGATCTACAGATTTCAGGTTTATTTACAAATGCATTAAAGTCGTGCGCAGGGTCAGAACAGCAATATAACCCACTGCCCTTTGAACACTGTTTTGGATTTCTAAAGTGGCTGCAACTACAGTAAGTTAAACAAGAATTGAGCCAAGTGTGCTGAATTTGTGTTACGAGTCTGTTAGCTTGCTTTAATAGAACAACCTGGCCTCATTCCTCCAGCGTATTACATAATGTCATAAATTTTACACACGTCTTACGTAACCTCTTCATCCGAGGTTAAGTGTAAACATAATCAAATGTCTCCGCTGTTTAATCAAACAATACTGATTTTATGTGTTCATTGCCTTGACCCATTTGTGCATTGGTTTATATGAAAATTATCATCATTTACTCATCCTTCACTTGTTCAAACCTTGCTTTTCTTCCTCTGGTAATGCAAAGTAAGATATATTAAAGAATGTTGGAGGGAAAACAAACAATCGACTTCCATAGTATTTTTGGTTCATTCTATTGATGTCAATGTCTACTTTTTCGCAACATTCTTCAAAATAACTTCTTTTGTGTTCAATATAAGAAGGAAATTCATAAAAGAGTAGGTGAGGAAATATTCATTTTTGAGTGAACTGTGTCTTTAAGCTAATTCTGTTTGTTTCTTTCCTTCAGTATATGCGTTATTGTTTATTTTTCCTGCCTCATATAAAAAGGAATCATTAGAGGTGTACAAAACTGGTCTCCGGATGATAGTCTTGTCAAAATGTGTGAAAATCACTCTAGCCTGTACATGTTTTTTGTAAGCAAGAACTCTCTCAAGCCTGTCATTAGCCCCTTTCACACATACAGACCTTTCCGGAAAATTACCGGCAATTTTCCGGAAAGGTTGTATGTGTGAACAGGTCCTTTTTGAAAATACCGGTAAATTCGTTCTAACTATTTTCCGGAAAGAGAAGTTGTAACATTACCGGCAATTTGCCGGAATGCTGCGCTGTGTGAATGCAGAAGGAAGATTACCGTAATAAGCGCGTGCACATCTAGAACTTCTGACGTGAGACGTCTGCTTTAGCCAATCACAACAGTCAGACGCATTTATGTCCGCGCGGTTTGTGAGAATAAAAGCCTTTGAATATTTTTTCCAGACACATTTAGCTGCTAGAAGTTAGTCAGATCACGTTTATATGTTCTTCTTAATGCCAACTGTGTAAATAATCATCGATGAGATGCTTATGATAAGCCGCTGTTTGTTTACCTTCAAGCTTTGCGTGTGCCTGTGTACTGCCTGTGAGCGCCTGCACACGCATATTATGAACATCTCGACATGCGAAAGTGATCCTGCGAAAGTTGTTCACAATATTGATCATCCACAGAGTTTGTAATTTAGTCAAATGTTTACAAATACAAGCGCAGCCGTTTAAAGCTCATTTGTGGTGAATGATGTCAGAATTTACCGTATTTTGGAATGGATGTGTGAATGCTCTTTTCCGGAAAAATTCCGTAACGTCCTCGCCTGTGTGAACAGCGCTTTTTTGAATATACCGGTAAAGTCGTTCCGGAAATTTTCCAGATATTTACCGGTATCACTGTGTGAAAGGGGCTTTTGGCACCTTTTTCATATGCCTTAAAGGCGCAGTATATATTTTCGCCACTAGAGGGTGTGTATTCATCACAAACAAAGGCATTTTTTATTATTTTGAACAAAGTCTGAGATTCACCCTCAAAAAAGAAAGAAGTCAAATAAATTAAATACAGTAATACTGCAATAATAGGTACAAAATCAGGACAGAATCATATCTGATTCCAGTGGTGCCTGCTGCTGTACAGCTGTAACGCACTTTGCGTACCTACCGTGAGAGGGCAGGAATCAATGCCACTTTGTTTATTTATTTATTTATTTATTTATTACATAATTGAAATTGATTATTAAACTGTATACACTACTACATAATATTGCCAAAGCAAGAAAAAATGATAATAAATAAAGGTGTGCATTTGTGTGTTTTAAATGTACTTGTATGGTGGGAGATGGGTAAAGAAATCTATTGGCTTTAGTTTTGCTGGCGGTTTTTCCGCACCTAAAAATTACAATTCAGATAGCTATTGTTTAAAACAAGGTTCACAATGAGTAATCGCTCTTTAAAACAAATAAACTTAATTGAGACATTTGCCAAAAGGCTTAAAACTAATGAGATAAATACTGATCCTCCACACGGAGTTGAGACCGCAGTCTCATCAGCACCTGAGTTGGGGGAACTGCCTTTCATCAGACAGATTAGATCAACTGCTGCGCAGCCTTCTCGCATGGAACAGCTACCATTCAAGGCTATTTTATCTAGAAGATAACTGACCAAGAAAAATATTTAAACAAAGAGACAAACTATATACGAAATTAGTTTAAAGTAAATTATGTTAATTATATTTTAGTTTGAGCCAGTCCACCACTCAACTGTGTGGGTGGATGATTTTCGGTCAGCGGAAAGTAAGAATTTAATTAATGTAGTTGTGTTGTATCACAATCTTCTGCCGTACAATTGCAATTTTTTATAAGTTTAAAGATTACATCTTGAGTGTCGGATTTTTCCATGGTGCTGATGAACAAAATATTAAAATTAAAAGAGGAAACGATTTATGTCGTAACGAATGCCCTTAAAAATTGTAGCCTTTGACAGTAAGCATCAGTGTTTCTTGACATGGGGCGGTGTTGGATTTGTGTGTACCTTGGAATAAAATCCTTCAGGCGTACCTGTCTGATACAGTCTCTCTCGTATTCAGGGGCACCCCCAACAGCCACCCCTATGCAAGCTCTGGCCACCCTAATATGATTTTGCTGTTGATATTATTAATTAAAATGTACTTATGCATTTATGCGTAATCACAATATTTCAATAAATAAAAAAATAAATAAAATGCAGCCATTAAATTATTGTGAATTAATTAGCGCCACTGACGTTACTGATTCACTGTCCTTCCCCCTTTAAGTATGTGCTAATACAGGGGTCACCAACCTTTTTGAAACTGAGAGCTACTTTTTGGTAACTGATTAATGTGAAGGGCTACCAGTTTGATGCACACTTAAATAACAAAATTTGCTCAATTTACTTTTATATGTTATTATTATTAATTTATGATATTCATCTATGTGAAGACACTGACTCACAATAGTTGTCAACAATGAGGTAGGAAAACAGGTAAATATCAATATGCAACATGCCCTTTGTCTGAAATGGCTTTTTACATACAGTATAACTTCATGTAATTTTCAGTTTTACACCAATGCAAGTGTGATTTAAAAAGTATTTTATAGTAATGTAAAAAAGATTTTGATGCTCAGCTTTCTGGTAAACGGCACTGGTGAGCTATTTTTACAACAGGCCGGTGGGCAACTCATGTGATCCTCACGGGCTATCTCGTGCCCACGGGCACCATGTTGGTGACTCCTGTGCTAATAGATGTTTGACGCTGCACCTCGAGAATAAACTGCTGATGTTCAACTGCAGCAGATAAGCTGACTTTACCACAACAATCTCAAGTTCAATTTCCGATTTTTTTTATTATTATTAAGGATAAACTTCATTTTTCATTTCATTTTCTTGTTGGCTTAGTCCCTATATTAATCCGGGGTCGCCACAGCGGACTGAACCGCCTAAGGATAAAGCTGTTATAGCATAATTGGTTTAGTATTGTTTGACAACGAGAGATGAAACATGACTTTGGGTTCATAAGATTGCACACTTTTTATTAAGATTTTTTCTTTTTTTATGAAAAATTGTGTTTTATCTGATAAAAAACAAAAATCCAAAACATTTAATGAATGCATTTTGAATTTTTTTACAATCTAGTTTATATAGCACCTTAATTTTATTTGGCTTGTTTACTTACAAAAGCCAAAAATCTCAATGATTTTGTGGATGTATTTTGCAAAGAAGAAAAGATATATCAGAAGAAGAAGCTGTATTAATAATATTGTGGCTCAAAAAGGAATATGGATAAAGTACATAAGTACATTATTAGGTTTTGAATAGTGAGTCTATGTACAGTTGAAATCAGAATTATTAGCCCCCCCCCTTGATTTTTTTTTCTTTTTTAATATTTCCCAAATGATGATTAACAGAGCAAGGCAATTTTCACAGTATGTCTGATAATATTTTTTTCTTCTGGAGAAAGTCTTATTTGTTTTATTTTGGCTAGAATAAAAGCAGTTTTTGTTTTTTTTAAACCATTTTAAGGTCAAAATTTTGAGCCCCTTTAAGCTATTTTGTTTTTCAATTGTCTATAGA